TTAAATCTGAATAATAATAAAATATCAATCAATTTAATTAAAATGTTCAAAACTTGGAATAAAACTTATAGGATTTAGAATTTATCAATAATGATTTAAAATAATCTTTAAATCTTTTAAAAGATAAATACTATATATTAGAAACTTAATAAACACAATTTGTCTAAGAAAAAATATTGCAAGACCAAATTATCAATAAGTTAAATGAAAGTCTCAATCACTTAAATAATTATTAATAATAAACATAATTTAACTAAAATTACATTCTTGAACATGCTAATCATTCTTTTACTATCTTATAATAACTATAACATCTATTTAGTAATGCTAATGAACTTATGATAGAAAAAGGCTTTATGAGCTTAGATTTACGAGAAGCCGAATAACTATGTTCTTCATAACATACATTTTTATTAAGTATCATTTATTTATAATTAGATCTAATTAAAATACTTTCCCCAAATTTTGATCCTCATTAATAAATAGTTTATCATGAACAAAAATAATAATCAATTAACTCGGATTAAGATTTATAATATACTTATACTTACAATGATTCATAAAAGAAAAATATTATAAGTTAGACTTAATTATAAAATCCATCTTGTGGTAATAATTAAAATATGCTAGAAATTGATCCATCCATCACCTAGTTTAAGGAATAAATTGAAAAATTGTAAAATCATATAGATTTTCTTAATGAAACTTTAATAAGTACTAAATAGCAGAATACAAAGTTGACAAAAGATTTTATTGATTTGATCTTAGCTCATGATAAAATCATTTTAAGTACTTTTATTTATTCTAAGTTAGGTCTTTAAACTGAATAATCATAATCACAAAATTTAGAGGTTAATAATATAATAACAGAATAATAAGAGATATTCTAAAATATATTAATATCCGATTAAAAAAATACAATAGAATAGACCAACCCTGAAGAACTGAAAAGATTAATCAAAGATCAATAGTTGCAGTTAGATTAAATGAGTCATAGAGCACAATAAAAGATTTAACATCTTTAACAACAAATAAATTTACTTTCATTAGACCTAAAATAGTAATAGAAACTTCGACCAGTTATTAATGTTAATGATACACTTTTGGAAAAGATAACGTCATTAGAAAGTAATTTTTTAGTTCTTAATAATTAGATTTTAATGATTAAATGAGGTAAATCATAACTTCAAATACAAATGAAATTTAGAACCTTAATGAATAGATCTAACAAAAGAACCGATGTATAGAATTTTAATATTTAGATTTTAATAATGAGCAAGAATTGTATAAAAGGTCATTAGAATAATTGCAAAAATCATAATTATCCTATATTAATCAGATAGAGGATATGACATAAGAGATAATTAGTATTTTAATTAAAATATAGTAGAAAAAAATACGGAGATAAGTTAGTTACAAGAAGAAATTTAGACTTTATTATTAAAAAACTAGAGATTGAGTGAGCAACAAGAACTTAATAACTATTATGAAGAATAAATGAAAAGTATAGTTATAAATAAATTAGTACTTCAAAAATAATTAGAAAAATCAAAATAAAATATTTAATAATATTCCTAAGTTAACTCTCCATAGGTCGATAATAAATCAATCTTTGGAGATGATGATAAATATAAAAAGTTAATAAATAGTTTGAATGAAGAGATAAAATTAAGCAAACTTTAGGTTTCATAATTTTCAACATCAATCTCTTATTTAAAGTAGGCTTAAAAGGAAATTTCTAATAGATTGAGAAGAATTTTGAATATCCCATTTGATTAAAAAGCTGATCTTTAAGAAATGCTTAATTAGATAGAAGAATAATTCGATATGATATCTTAGTTATAACCTAAGAAAAAAATTATTGGTTTTTCTGATACAACAAAGTACTTATTAGGAAAAACTCCAAAAGGATTTAATGAAACAGAATCTAAAAAAAAGGTGCTCGAAAATATGGTTGAGTCAAAGGATAAAGAAATTAATTAAGAAGAAATGTATATATAAAGTTATATCATATCAGTTCGGTTGATCTAGATTAAATTTTGAATGAAGAAGACTCGGAATAGGAAAATTAATAAAATATTTAAATAACTTAATTTGAATATGAAAAATAAGTGAATTCCATACTACAAGAGGAGGATGATTTAGAAAAAAGTAGATAAATAAGTCTATCAAAAAATGATGATGAAGTAAATGATGATAAATAAGGAAAAACAGAGAAAAATGAGGAACTTTAAGAACTTAAAGAAGAAATTCCTGAATTAGAAATAGCATATGCAAATAATTAGAAATTAATGATATAGCAACAACAGGAACATTAAGAATCAATTTAAAATTTACAAGAATTAATAGAAAGTAAGTTATTATTTATAATAGACTTATAACAAATAATTTAGTAATAAAACTTAAAATTAATAAGCCAAGAAGCTTAATTAGAAAATAATTTTAAAAACCTAAAATAACAATAAGAAATAATTGCTTGTTTCTAAAATTAATTAGAGTTAGCCAAAAAAGACTTGAAATTGTCAAGTCCAGAATTTAGAGAAAATTAAAAAGAGTATGATTCATCTAATGATTAAAAAAATGCAATTCTACAATTAGAATAAGACAAATTCGAGCTTGCTGCTTAATTAAACGAAGAAATCACAAGGAATAAGGAATAAAAGGAGTAATTTTTTGAATCAATCTCAATAAGAGATAATATTATTTAATGTAAAAGAATTATATTATTTTAGATTTGTAAACATAATTAGCGATAAAATCTTCAGATTATGAACCTAAAACATCTGAAAGAAGTTTAAATTTATAAAATTAATATGAATCTAGTTAGGATAACTAATAATCAAATATCGACGAAAGAAGTAAGTTTTTTTTAAATGTAGTGTTAACTCATGAGGAAGCAAGATTTGTTAGGTCAATTCAAGAGTAAGAAAATGAAATAGATGAAAATTAAAGCATTTAATAATAGCAGATTCCCCGCCTATAACTTTAGACTTAGCAACTAAGAATTAGAAATCCAAGACCAACAAGATGTTTGAGAAGCAGTGGATCATAAGATCATTATTAAAGTATATATTTCATCTAAAATAGATAATTAAATAAAATTAGATTAATTAGAAGAAGATTATTAAGAGCAAATTAAATTTTTAATTAATGAAAAATATTAAATGAAGGAATGCTTATAAAAGGATATTGAAAGTAAAGATGAAGAAATAGAAGAAATGAAGATGGAATTAGATAACTTATAGTAAAGGTTAATCGCTCTTGATATAGCTAATAATGATAAATAAAAGGAATTAGAATAATTAAATCAATAATTGAGAAAATTAGAAAACTAAAATTAAAGTAATTTTATATTCAATCTTATAGGTCTCAAAAATCATAATAATAATATTGAAAGTCAACTTAATTCATAGCTACAATCATTTGAAGAATAAAGGAAAGTTGTTGAAACCACTCATAGAACAAATGATGAAATTTAGAAAAAATACGACATATTACTACAGAAATATTTGAGTATATATTTATATGATTATATTTAGAATTGGAAGATGATCATAATAAACTACTTGAATAACAAGAAAATGATTTAGCTAAAATAAACTTTTATAATGAATCCCTAAAAAATATGCAAGATTAGGTAGAAAAGTCAAAGGAAAGAATTTGTAAGACTTTACTTTAGTCACCAAGTGGTGATAGGGATCAAAATGAAGAAAATAAATTTAAATAGCAGATAAATCGACTTAATGATGAGTTAAGAATAAGTAAATTATAGGTAGCTCAATTTTCTGCAACTAATCTACAATTAAAATAAAAGCATTAAGAATTAGTTGTTCGACTTCAATAACTTTTTAAATTATAATTTTAAGAAAATGATGATGCTGCATAAATAATCCATTAAATTGAGTAGTATATTTAGGTTTTGGATCAAAATAGTCCGGTTAAAGTTTAGAAAAAATTAGGAATGAATGATGCTACTCGATTTTTATTAAATAGGTCAAGTAAATCACGATCCTCTTAAGGTTCAAATAGGCCTTCCTTATAATAATAAAATTAAATACCCTCAAGGGAAAGTCCGCAGAAGACAGATCATTTAATGTATTTTTATTTTATAATTTATAGTGAACTTGATAAAATACTTGATGAATCAGATTTTGAAAAAGAGATTTCCTAATAGTAAAATTTCTTTTTTGATAATAATTGATACCAATAAGAGTAATTGACATATTAAATTATATTATATATTCTAATTATAAATTATTTCTATTGATAAACCTCATAAAAGGTTTCTTTTTATAATAATTGTTAAAAAATTAGTAACAGAGAATTACTATTAGTGTATTTATATTGACAATTTTTATCTTGATTATCAATCATATTCTCTCAAAATAGGATTTCTTATTTCTAAAATTATAATATCTATTCATTTATATAACTCAATAATAAAATTTAAAGGCTCTCTTAAATTTTAGTGAAGCAAATGGTTAACTCAATACTAAATGATGAATTTAATTTAACAATAAAAAATATATATAACGAAAATTCAAAAGTAAAATGAAAGGAAAATTAGTACAATCTTTAATCAATCTATTTCCAAATCAACATCAGGAAACATTAATCTAATGTGTGTTTATAATAGGATTTGATAAGCTTATAAAAAAGGGTTTTCTTTTAAATGGCAAACCTAAACTTCAAGAAATAATAGATTATTCAAGTAAACGTAATTTTTCAATGTAGTTAAATTGTAAAAAAATGGAAGATTAGACTTTGTTTAATAACCTTGTGATGTAAGACAAGAGTTGGATCATTTAAAAGATGAAATAAGTAAGTTGACATAGTAAATATAATATAATAACTCGATGATGTAAACATTTTTTCATATATTTTAGTCAAAAACAAACCCAAAGAAGCCAAGATAGGCTAATATTATAGAATGTTTCACCCTAATATGATGAAAGAAAAAGGTCTGTATCAGTTGGATATAAATAATAATAGCAATAATTCATTTAAAAGAAAACTAAAGAAATAACTCCAAAAATTACAGAAACAATACCATAGACAATCAATTAAATCAACATCACAATTTCCAAACATCATTTGGATGATACAGAAATAAAGTCTATAATGAGAGATACTTAAATAAAAGAAAAACCTCCTAAGCCAAATAAAGTGAATTAGGATCAGGTTTTCAAAAAAAATAATCAGATTGAATATTAGCGTATAGATACAGAAGAACATCCAACATATGAAGATATTGACAGTGTGCCTGTTAAAGAATATTACATTCCTTAAGTCCTTTAATATTCAAATCTCTAAAATAGTTAAATGTCATAATTATAACAACAATCATAGTCTAACCAATTCTAATAATAAACATTTAACTAATTGCCATCAACTTAGATTTAATAACTATAATAATCATAAATGTCATATTAGTCAAATACAAAATAAAGCGATCACTAAACCCATAATACAAATTAAACGTTTGCATAGCCTTAGTCAAGCTAAAAGCATTTAGTTTAACCTTCAAAATCTCCAAATAGTTAGTCTAAATCTCCAAGTAAATCTCCAAAATTTAAGTAATAAAAAAAGCAAAACTGTAAAAAAAATTTAGAGACCGTGCACGAAGAAAGTTTTGCATAAGTTAAACATTAAAGTAGCCATTCAGCCTCATCAAAAGGAAGGGGATCCTATCGATAATAAAAGTTTTAATAAAATAATTAAGCTGTATCTAAGATTAAAGCATTGCTGGATTAAGATAAGAAAATATACAAATAACATTTAGTAGATGTTGCAAGTGAAAGAAGATCATTTATCAATTCTTCTGATAAAATGAAAAGAATTTAAGAGGAAATAATAACTGACTAAAGCCAAGCAAAATATTAAGATATTAGTGACTCAGTGAATAAAAGAACTTTTTCAAATAATAGTTTTTATAAATAGTAATAGAATCAGTAAATCTCACCTTAATTAGATTCAGAATCTAAATGTTAAGGTTTAGATCCATTAAATCAGTTTTAAGGGTCAAATTCAATGACAAATTCGAATCGTGCTGGCAATTTCACATCAAATCCTCAATAATAAGATAATATACCAATTTATGGCAAATATAAATAATAGATACTTGATCAATTTTCTCCTAAATTAAAATATTAAGCAAGACCATAAAGTGTAGGTAAATAATTGGAGAGTGACTTCAAAAGATCGAATGATTTCAATAGAAGTTCAGTTAGTAGTACATTTTCAATGTTTAATCCTAATGAAGAGTTGAAGACATTTTTTTAGAATGACTTTTTAGAAAGGAAACGATATTTCCCTTAAGGGTATAGTGATATGACAAAATAAGTATTTTAATTTATTTAATAAATAGTCATCTTTAAATTCCTCACAAGATCATAATTAACATTAAAGCAAATATATTAGTGCAAGTCAAATTGAGGAACAGCAAAACTATAGTAAGAACTTATTCAGTCCTCAATAATATTAAAATATTGATAAGTCTAATGTCTTCAATAATAATAGGCTTAGCGTAACTAGAATACTAAATAATTCATAAATATGAAAATATATTCGTTTTTAATTCTAAATGAAATTATTATTGCTTACTTTTTTAGTTGTTTCTTAATCTTAATGGATTAATACATATGAGGCATTTGTAGAGGACTTATTAACAACTTTAGATGGTAAATTAAAGTTAAAATTTATTTAGGTTGGGTAATTTAAAATTAATTCTAAGCAACTTCTGATATTATAACTAAATGCAATGAGAAAACCATTGTAGGAGGATTAAAAACATTTGGTTTAAAGACTACTGCAACAAAATTTATTAAATTGCCTCCTCATTATAAATTGAAGTTTAATATCCAACTTTGGAAGTATAAAATCAACTTGAAATAGATTAGGTGAATGGGAGAAGGAAGTATTTTCAATATACATAGATGGTGTTCCTTGGGAAATGAAGTGGGGATTCACTGAGGGAGGAATTAGACTATGTGGAGGTCTTGAATCTAAGCATAGTGATAAGATTTTTGATATAGAATTTGAGATTGCCCATAATTCTCCTACTGTGACAATCATATTGGCAACAAATTAATAAGGGTAAGCTGATATTTAGGCTTGGGGATTTAGATAAGTTAAAGTGTCATTTATTGCTTGTCCTTCTGAATGTGGAATTTGTCATAATGATAAAACTGAAGATTGCAAAAATTGGAATTAAGAAGCTCTCAGCTGGTTTCATATAGATACAAAACTAGAAGGATGGTAATTGGAGAATGGTAAGGATAAGGGATATGAATGTTCAGGCATAGTTATATTTGGAGGGTATGAAAACGTTGGTGCCAAATCAACGTTATCTAATTCTTTTACAAGCATAGCTCCTCATTATAAAATAATGATTAAATTTACATTTTGGAAAGTAATTTAATAATATAATATTAAAGATTGATCTTTGGGACAATGATGAATTTTATATAAAAATTGATGATAAAGAAGTAAAGAAAATAGCATTTTAAACAACTGATGGGATAGAATTATGCGGAGTGTATTATATATTATGAGTAATTTCATAGAAAATCCAATAATCCAGGATATGGAGAAAAGATTGTTGCAATTGAAGTTATTTAAAAACATTCAGAGCCATCTTTAAAAATCTCTTTTTCATCTTCATTATCTAAAGATTTAAATTAATAATCTTGGGGTATTAGAGATTTCTTTTTATTTGCTGCTTAATGCACAAAATTTTGTGATGAATGTGTAGGTAATGCTGAAAATGAATGTACAAAATGTCATTCTACTCATACTTTATCAAATGGAAAATGTTTGAATAAAAATGAATGGTATGTAGCATCAAAAGAATTTTTTGAAGAAGAATCATTTAAAAAAATAGAAGGATGGAATTTTTAAGAACTTGATTCTGCTAGTCCAAATCCTCCCATTACAAAATGTTCTGATATGAATCTAATTGGAGGATACTAATCCTTTGGAAAGGTATTCATAAAATTTATTTAAGAAAACAACAGTATCAAAAAAGTTTATTTTGCCAAAGCATGACTATATAAGAGTTAAAATTATTATCTACAAAATTGATAATTGGGATGGAGAGGAATTAACTATATTTATTGATAATAATGAACTATGGACACAATTTCTAGGTTGGAATGATCCTGCTTAAAGTGATATTTGCGGAAATAAAAGTAATAATTGGAAAGAAAGAATAATGAAAGTGGATAAGATATTTACTCACAGTTCTGCAGAATTGTAATTTGACTTCAGAAGTACTCTTTAAAAAGAAGCCAATGAAGCCTCATGGGGTTTTAGAGAATTTTAGCTTTTATATTCTCCATTAAATGAGTGTATTGAAGTATTCAGTGAATGCAATTACAAAGGATTGTAAGAAAGAATTTGTGAAAACACAGAGTCATTAACTTAATCAAAAATATAATTTGATATAAAGTCTATCAAAATCCCTGAAGGTATGAAAATAACAGGATACAGAAATCTCGGTTTCAAAGGGGACAAGGTTGAATATGAAACAAATTAAGAATGCCTTGATACCATAGAATTCTCATTTATTGAAAAATAACTGATTGGAAATATGAAATATATTCATAAATGATAAAATGAATTATAAAATCATAATTAATATAAATTATTAATAATTAAAAAAAATTATTCAACAGATTTAAGTTATATAATTGATATATATAAAAAGGTTAAATAAATTTCAATATCTATGAGTTATTGTTGTAAAAATAGTGTCTAGCTTTTCACATTTGTCATGGTGTATTTAATGCAATCTTTTTTTATTGAAAAAATGAGTAGATCTATCATAGAAAGGTATAATAGAATCAAATTTTTATTTAAGAATTTCATTTTGAAATGTGTATTATTTAATGTTTCTACCTGTGTTAGGTGAATTTGATAAATGATATTCTTGTGTTTCTTTATGTAATTATAATTATTTTGGATATTTTTCTTTTTAATAAGAATGATTGGCAAACTTTCTTTTCCTTATGTATGGAGATTCTTGCATATTCCATAAAGTTCTATCTGTTTTAGAGTTTTACTCTTCTGTAATTAAATCATCTGTTTAAATAAACTTAGAATTTGTTGGTTTAATTTGATCACTTTATAATTTTTAATTGTTAGCCTCCCTTTATTTAAAATATAAAGTTATGGCTTTTTAATTTACACTAACTGATCCTGTTTTTGACATAATTTCTTAAAAATGTCTAATTGATCGGGAATATGAAAAAATTCTTTTTGGAGGCTCTAAAACTGATTTTATGATCTGATGTTATTGCTAACATAAATTCTTTGTGTGATTTGGTTTATTTAACAATATTCTGAGTTTATTTCTTCTTTGAGATATTATTTCTTAATCAATGTCTAAAATCATTTTAATTATATAATGATCATATTTTATCAGGTTCCTACCAGGAAAATAAAAAATATTTCACAAAAACTAATAATAAAATTAAAAAATGCTAAGTTAAGTGTCTGCTTTACTTTATGTTTACTATAAAGATTAGAATAGTGAACTCAATTAAGAAAGATTTACTTATTATTGTATAGTGATAGGCATTCTGAATTTTTTGGGATTTTTTCTAAACTCATTTGAATAACATCCAAAATCTAAAGGCAATTCATTGAAAATTGTAGTGGAATTGATTTGTTCAATATTAGGATTGATTTCAATATTATTATACTTCTTTATTTATTTTATGGAATTTTCAATGGCTAGCATGTAAATGTTAATAGGATTGATATTAATTTGGGTGATTGAATGCTCCCTTTATTATGTTTTAAGTGATAAAGGATTATAAAGTATGCTTAGTTTATTTGTAACAACTAATCTTTTATTGATTAATGGAGATATTGCATTGAAAGGAATGGGTTAATTTAGTGTAATTATTAATTTGTATAATTTAGAATTTATTCGACTATAGTTCAATCAATTTAATTGTGTTATGTGCTCAATTTTCATGGGCAGGAGAACCAACTTCAAAGAAAACAAATAGTTTGTTTTACATAATTTCAAGATAAGATTGCTTTAGATTGATGGTGTACTTTCTATTATTCAATATTTTAAATAATACAATTAAAGCAGTAATAGAAAATATTTATGTAATTGTACCTACTTTAGTGACAGTGATTCCATACATATGGGCTACATCTAAATTTAGTCAAAGAAGATATAAATAAGCATTTGGATTATTCCTATTCACTCTTTTAGTTTACTTTCCTATTGATGTATACATAAAATAGTAATAATTACTGCAATAATAAGAATAACCAATCTACCTGTGATTATATTATAGTAAATTATATTATTATTATATATTGAATATCTTATGTAAAAATTCTTATTAATGAGTAGATTTTATAACATATAAATTAGATATAAAGATTTCAACAAAAGATTGTATTATTCTATATTATTCTTGTATGAAATAGTTAAACAATAAGTATTCTGCACTGAGCATAAATATAAAGATAATTGTAAAAAGTAAAAGGAGTTAACTATACATCAAAATTGAGAATTGTTATTTATATAAATAATTGTTTTTTTTGAGAATAATTAGTTATAATTTATTTAGAAAAGTTCTTATGTGGAAATCAGAATTAATTGAATACCTTCTCTTTATGCTATTGGGAGTATTACATTGTAATGGGATGAATTAGAATTTGGCTTATTATTGCAGCTATGTTGATGAAGTCATCTCTTAAATACCAGAGTCATGTTAAGTAGTTAATATTACATCTAGTAATTTCATTTGCAAAAATAATAACTTTTTTATAAATGTTGAAGAATTCTATTTAACATAATCAAATATTACTGATTGTGAGATCACAAAAATAAATTCTAAATATATTGAAATTCTAAATATCAGTTTAATAAATAACAATATAAGTCAATATTTGTTTTAATCTTAGAACAACATCTTAATCTAAGGGAATATTTAGAAACAATTGAATCATATTGAAGTGATAATAGAATCAAAAAATGAAATTAAAATTATTAATGCTTTGATAATTATTGATTAAATAGATATAATATCACATTATGGGTATGTTGAAATTGTAAATAGTAATTTAATAAGTTTAAATCCTTAATGTAACATGCATCATGACTTGTAATTCACTTCAAATTTTAAGATAGTTTCATAAGAAAATGTTACAATTGATTCAAGGTCTCATATCACTGCTTCAACCGTAATACTATACTCTAATCATACAATAATAGATGGAATAATTGAGTCTCCTTTTGATTGTTATACAAATTAAGGTATTGGAAAAGGTCCAATATTTATGATAGAAGGATTGATATGTTTAAGTGGTGGTGGATCATCGGCTGGCTTGGGAGGAGGTGGAAGTCTAAATAAATAATGTAAGGCTTTAGAAAGAACATCAAAATAATTCATAAAATCTCATCCTTATAACAATCCTAATTATTTGAGAAGTGGAAGTGGAGGTGCAGGAACAATATCAATTGGTAGCGGTGGCGGTACCATTCTACTTTAGTCACTTAATTCAATATCCATAAATGGAGAATTATTATGTAATGGAGTGGATGGATAATTTATTGATCTGTAGAATTAATATGGTGGTGGAGGTGGAGGAGCAATTCAAATACTTGCTAAACATATTGAAGGGAATGGAGTCATTGAAGCTAAAGGAGGGAATTCAGATCAATCCAATTAAGTAGGTGAAGGAGGAGGAGGAATTGTTATATTACAAGGAGATCTATCAAAAATAGCCAAATTGAATATAGATGTTAAATCAGGAATAAGAAAAGATCAATAAGGATACAATGGTACAATCTAATTTCTACCTTGTGAAGATGGTTTTTATCTAAATAAACTATAATGTGTTGAATGTCCAAGCAATTCTGTGTCATTTGGAAAAAGAGGACATTGTTTTAAATGTCCTGGAGTCTTATTAGGACCATCTTATGTAGATTGGCCTTCTTGCAATGATAATGTGTGTAATTAGTTTTATTGTGATCCAATCACATCTATATCGAATATAATGTCCAGTCTTTTTAATTTAATCCTTTATCTATTGCTATTTATGTTTATATCAATAGGATATGTTATTAGAAGAATGTATAGGACGAAAGAAATCAAATATGAGAGATTACCTTTTGATTTTGAATCAGCAACAAGATATATGACTATTGATCATTTATTAACTGATGAATTGATGAAAAATCCTAATTTTTCATTGATTGATCTTATGTATCATGTTCATAGGATTACATCAGTTGGTAATAATTCTATTGAAAATGCATGGAAATTACCAACTTATCCTGAATCTGGCATAGAATATCTGATGGATCTTGAGGAATATAAAAGATTTGCAAATAAAATTAATAAATTAGCAGAATGGAAAAAGTCAGAAAAGATTTTATTAGCTATTGTGTGCATTATGTATTATCCTTTATATTGGATGATTTTAACATATATAAAAAAAAAGAAATATTTAAAAATAGTAGAATACTTTAATTAATCAAATATAATGAAAACAATAGATGATCAATTTATTAAAATCAAAATATCTAAATCTGCTGATTATACATTACTCTATTTTGATATTTTCAATTATAAGATAAGTGACTTAAAGTATTTCTTTTTAGCTTGTCCATATTATATTCTAGTCTCTGGCGAAGGTAATTTTTTAAAGCCTTTTTACTTATGTGAAAGTAATCCTTTTTTATCATGTCTCTATTTTTCTATTAATAGAAATAAAGTGATTCATGAAGATAGAAACAAAATACTAGATAATTTAGTGACTCATAAGACAAGAATGGTAAATAGTCAAAAGTTAAATAATTTCATTATAAAATTTAATAGATATGCAAGAGCTATTGATGTTGATAGTAACAAATTTGCATATAATGTACGATAATTAATTATTTATTGTAATCAATAGAATGTTAAATTCTTTTCAAATTTCTTAATTACAATTAATGTTATTATTATTATTGATGATGAATTTACAATTTTAGAAAATTATGAATCTCTAGAGTTTATTAAATTTATAGAAAAAGTAAAACTGAAAAATTTGAGATTAGGATTATTTATTTATGATTCAGAAGCAAATCCTGAAGAAATAGAAGATGTTTTAGATAATCAAAGAATATCTTTAGAATAATCTAATTAATTTTAAGTTTATGAAGAAGATAAAGAGAGTATTGAAAATGTTCAAAACCTTGAGGATCTTAAACATTAGTATATTGAAAGGATTAAAGATTCAGTTTAATCATTTTAAATAATAGAATAAGAATAAAAAAAAATAAATAAGGATAGGAAATCTAAAATGAAATTTTTAGGTAGAATTCGATATTTATTTTTGTCTCATTAAGTACCAACAGTTGGTCAGAATACTAAAATATATTCTCAATTATTGATATCTATTTTAGATGCTGTAAATTTGTAGTTTATTATAGATATTTTTACCTTTGTTAATTTAATAAGGTCTTTAGGAACCAAATTTTCTTTTTGAATAAGTTATGCTATTATTTTTTCCTTATCCATTAAGTATTGTAATAAGTCCAATTTTGGGTTGTATTTGGATGACTACTTAATCATATGGTATTGCTAAAGTTCATTCAATTTTCAATAGTTTATCTATTTTCAACTTAATTATTCATATTGTTATAATGATATAAAAAATGATCCCTTTAGCCTTTTTAATTTTATTAAGCAATTTAATTCTAAAAATATTATTGATGATAAATATTAAGAGAATATTGTCACTAAATATTAAATTAAATAAACTTAATTAAATTAAACATATTATTCAATGATTTTAAATTTATTATACGCAATCATTTATTATTTAAATTTCTTGTTAATATTCACTAATTAATTGCTTATAATTTTTTTATCTCAATTAAATCTCATTATTCAATTAAATAATTAATTATTGACTATTTTAAATTGATTATTGGATTTAATCTATGAGACTTCTTTTTAATTTATATTATTGTAACATAGCTTCATGATCTTCCATTAAAATTTTAATTAAATCATTATTTACTTATTGAATCTTATTTTCATGTAATCTAATAGCAATATCATTCTGAGATTTTTCAGAATTTTATGTATTTAACAATTTAATCTTCTAATCTGAAATACTTGCTCTAAGTTTTTATAATAATCTTGTTGATCTACGAATTAAATCATGATCTGCAAATTTTTCATATGAAATTTATGAAAAAGTTAATGCAATTTATTAATATTATGGTTCTAAATTATTTTATAATTCTTCACCAACCACACTAAAAGTATCAGAATGTTCTTCAATAAAGTTTGATTCTAATTAAATTTTAATATTTTATACATTTTCCTTTTTCTAATAGATCAATTGCTGTATCAATAGAACTTAAAGCTTTATTATAGGAATTTTATTAATTAGTATATATTTAATCTTCTTTGTTTTACCAATCAATTAATGATTATTTAGAATTTATCATATTCTAAACTTCTTACTTTTTAGAGATAATATCTGTTTCCTAAAATGTAATAGATCTATCCAGTCTTCTAATTTCAACTTATAATGTTGCTAATTCTACTTATAGATCATTTATTCTATGTTCATAATATTCAATATCACTCTATTGTCTATTTGTATATATTGTATATGACTTAGTTTCTGATTCAATTTTATCCTAAATATTTAAAGTAATTAATTACTAAAATATTATTTTTTATTTGATTGAGTGCTTGCATTAGTTCATTGGTGTTTGTTTAATCCAATTAAGACAATAATATTATAGATCTACCCATGTTTGATACTCCTAATTAAGTTAACTTAGTTGTTAAGGAAGTTTGTAAACAATTGATTGTTAGAGCTAAGAAAAAAATCAACATATCGTTTTTTTTTTATAATTAATATAATAAAATACATATTAATTCAAAACTCAATTTTATTTTATTTTATAAAAAACTTTTTTTCATTTTTCCATTTTTTACTATTAGCAGAACTAATTAAATTAGTTTCTTAATGTACATCTTAGGTTTTGAATCTTTCTTGTTCTTTATAAAATTATTAATATTTTCTTTATTGTAATGTATGATTAAAATCGAATCCATTTACTTATGGAGGTCTAGAAGTAAGTGCAATATTTAAATGAAAAAAGAATCCAAAAATTACTCTTATTTATCCAATCAAAAATATGATATATGCAGATGGAACAATAATTGATTCATATTATGATTCAAAATATTGAGAGGATAAATTATAATAGATTGTTATGCAAATAAATGATGGGAAATATATTAATAAAGCTAATGTAAATTCAGATATTTATCTACTATTTAATAGAAATTTTTTGATTTAAATTCCAATTTAAGGACAAAATTATCTTAATACATTTTCTAATACATAATTCTTTTCACTCATCTTCCAAATATGTGAAAAGAATGTAGCTTAATCTGCATCCAAATTTTTAAATAAATTATACATATTAATATAATTAGTGTAAGTAACAATTATGAATTTTATTATAGTAATAGATGATAAGGCAAATAAAAGTACAAAAAATTTAAATTGTAATTCTGTTTAAATGTTTTATTATTGTAAGAAATTTATAAAACTACCACAAAATCCTATTACTTCGAATTCAAAATAATAATCAGTTTATATGAAAAACTGCATAAAAAATAAGATTAATTCATGCCTTAAAGGATATTTATACATTTAAGATTATTTTTCTTCAAATGTTCTAATACAATAATCTGGAATTGCCTTTACTCTTATTTTAATTGCAACATACAAACTCAAACCTTATACATAAAGTGTAATAATCAAATAAACTATACTAACTCCTGTAATATAAATATTAAAATTTGTGAAATAGCAAGGGTTCATATCTTTACAATTAATATTAGCTTATTTTGGATCTACTATATGATCAAAGTAGAATCCTATAATAGCACTTAAAAATGCCTAAACAGGAACTGAAAAAAATTAAATAAAACAATAAGTTTTAATTAAGATTTTATTTTGTCTTAAAAATCTATATAATGAACTACTTAACTTAAATTCAGTATATTAATAATAATTAGTATTTATCAATTAAATGATCCATTTTCCATTACTTCCATTTCTTAGAAAATAGTTTTTCAATTTAATTAAAAAACATTATAATATACCATCATCAAAGATATTAATTACTCTTTATTCATTATCTATTTTACCATCTATAAGATTATAATTCATAAATTATTCATTTATCATACTAATATACATATGCATCTTACCAACACTTGTACTATATTTAGTACTACCAGAAAAATCAATAGCTTCTAAATATTAAAAATGAAAGTATTTAGAACCAAACCAAATCAAAAAGTTGTCTGTTAAATTAGAATCTCTTATTATCAAACTTTTCAAATAAAATGGTGTTATTTTTATATTATATTTAATGCTATATTAAATATATTATTCTATTATTTAAAATGCCAATTATTCTGTTACTTAAGTCCATGTATTATAAATATATAATCCTGGATTTATTCTTAAAAATTCAATTAAATCTTAATTTCCTAAAGCCTTATTATTATCAATTATTAAAATATTAAAGTATGTCAATTATTATAAACATCTTTTAGAAAGAATGTTAGAATCTATGCAATTACTAAATTAATTATTAAATTCTTACTTAGAAATTATTAACTTTCTTAAATGACTCTTATTTTCCAATATAAAATTAATCAATGTATTAAATCCTTTTGAAGTAATATTATTTGATGCCAATGATAATTCTTATAATTTTATTTAATTTATTAATAATTCTAATAATAGTTCACAATGTTCATCTTCAAATTAACATTCATTAAATATTAATATTATTATATTTTAAAATATTTAATCTGGTTTTATTCTATTGATTAATTATTTTAAACATCCTAATTAATATTTAACCCTAGATAAATCAAGTTAAACTAAATTACAAAATAGAAATAATGATTATTCAGGTAAATTATAATTTATAAGAAAATCATATTTATATTCAGGTAATACTCTAATTAATGATTATTTTTTAGTTTTAGAAAATTTTAATTTTTATAATAAACAGATATTATTATTGAAAACTTCAAAAAAATTGTAATAACTTTATTAAGTCAAATTATTTCTTGATAATTCAAGTTGTTATATTGTCTTATTTTTATATAAAGATTCTATTAATAATCTACATTTATAATCATCTAATTTTATATTTGATAAATTCAAAGTTATTAAACTATTATTAATAGATATTCCTTCACATAGAATTTCAAACTTTTATTAATTTATTCTATTTTCACTTATATCTAATTCCTAAAGTTATTCAGTCTATTATAGTAATTATTTCAAAACTAAAAAAAACTCAATTGATAATGTAGATTTCTTAATAATTAAATGTTATAAATTATCTAAAGCTTTAATTTTAATCAAAGTTGAAAAGGCATCAAGTATCTCTCTTGATTCAATTAATTAATATTCGAGAATAAAAGATTTTAAACGTTTAGTATAAGTCATACCATGAAATAGAGTAAGTAAATAATTTTATGATATAAGAGTATTAGAAACTTCGATTACTTGTAATGAATGATTATTTTATTTCATTATCTATTATAAAAATTAATAAGATTCTAATCTACATTATATTTTATTAATTGTTAATGATTTAACTTCCTTATGATCTAATAATGCTGTAAAATTATTTACATAATCAATTGAATTATTAATACTTATATCTAATACTTTAAATGAAGATATATCTGATATGATATCTGATAATATTAATAAATCATCTGCTGTTAATTTCAGATTATTTAATATTAATTATGGAAATTATGAATGCATCTTTTATATACAATTTTTAATATTTTAAAGAGTTTTACCATGTATCCAATTATTTGATAAATCTACAATTTATAAATTTCTATTTTTAAATAATAATGGCAATTTCTTAACTGTCATTTCATTTTCATCAATCAAATTATTACTAATATTTAAATTTCTTAAAGAACAACAATTTTATAATCCATTTATTAGAAATTAGATTGAGTCTTTCAATTTATTATTTGATAAATTAATATTCAATAAAGTTGAATTCTTACCAAAAGAACTACTCAATTAATCTAAAGATTATTGATTTAAAGAACCTAAATGATTTTAAGCTATTTATAGAGTAGTTAATGTATATGTTTTTTCAATTAGAATACTCAATTTTTCAATTAAAATAGAATTATTCAAACCACAAGCATTTAAATTGAGATATTCAATTCTATTATACTATTTACTAAGTGATTCTAATATAGGTAACATTATTTAAGGATTGTAACTGAAATCTAATTCCTTCAAATTAGTACATTTAATTTCAAAACAATCTTATTTACCACTTTATATTTCATTTTCATCATTAAATAATTATGATAAAATTAATGATTTTAATCTAGATTCCTTCATCATTGATATTAAAGCATAAACTAAATCATATCTTAATTAATTATATGAAAGATCTAGATATTATAATTTTATTTATTCATGATTAAAAATATATACTAAAATCCCTTCACCTGTAATTTAATTTTTAGATACAGATAAACTAGTTAGACTTGTATTTTCAATCAATGCATAAATAATTGAAATAAATCCCTTTGTTTTTATTATATTATTAGTCAAATCTAAATACATCCATTTAACTTTATTAGAACTCAACACTTGACTTATTTAATAAGCTCCTTCTGTATTAATTTAATTATTAGAAAGATTTAAGTAAAAAACATTAAGAAAAAAGTTATTTGGTATTTCTTCAATTCTATTATAAGATAAATCAACTCTTAATAATTTTAGATTGAGAACTTATTAATTTTAAAATTCTATTATTTGATTATGAGCTAAATGTAATTCTTCTAATTATATTTTCAATATTATTTATTCCAAAAATTCTGTCTAAGAAATATGATTTCCATTTAAATTCAATGATTTTATTCTTATTTATCTAACTGACATAAATAAACCTTTAGCTAATAATTCAATCCCATCATTTTTTATCTAATTATATGATATATCCAAATAATCTAAATTTAGTTTACCTGTATAATTGAGCATCATACTTGATAAAGCTATAATTCCTTCAGAATTTAAACACATCAAAGATAATTTTAATCGTCTAAATTATTTATTGTATTTTTATACCTCAAAGAACTTAAATGATGAGTTTTATCCATTATTTATGCTAATAAAGAGTTTTGAATGTTACAATGAGATAAATTTATTTCTTATAACTAATTCTTTCCACATAAAACATATCTACAAAAATCTTGTACTATTGCAGTTGTAAATGCTTAATTGTTAAACAAATTTAAGATCTTCAATCCTGAATGATCTATTAACTGGTTTAATTATATAATATTTATACTGCTTTAAATATACAGCTTAGTCCAAATGAATTTATCAAACAGCTTCCTAAATTTAATATTTATATATTTGTGTTTTTTTATATTAAACCACTAATCTCAATTGCATAATACACATTAATGTTACATCCTGATAAATTTACTTCACTAATTAGAACATCAAGACTTACATCACTCGATTATTTATACTCAAAGTGTTGCATAACGTAGTAAAACAAGCTAAAGCACCCCGATTTATATGATATGCAGCTTCTTCTTAATTTTTATCCAACTCTCTATTCATTTTCATTATTAGTTTCTTTATCAGCTTTTTAAAGTTAATCTTAGTTGAGGATTGATTTTTAACTAAACTACTCATTAATTAAATATTATCATTATCAATTAATAAATACGAGAATCTGTATAAAATAAGATTGCTCATTATAACAATAATATAAATTGTTTAATAATTCAATATCAAATTTCATATTGCCTCTGAAAAGTGGATAATTCAATTAATTTAGTACTTTTTAGACTATAGCTATTATAAATTCCTACTTTTTAATATATATATATTAATATTCTACTTATAATAATATTATAAAATACTAGATTAACAACTATTATAACAATTTACTCTTTATTAGATAAACAAAAATTAATAAAATTAATATATAATCAATTATTATTCTAAATTAAAGAAATAGAAAATGAATAGAAAAGTCAATATCATTTTATATTTTACCAATTCTTATTTTACTACTTCAGTTAATAAAAATTAAAATATAAGTGACTATTGAATTGATGAATAACATATATAATATGATATCAATAAGTAAATCTACAAAATCAAATTTCATCTTTATTTGAACCATTTTCAATCAAATTCAATTTCACTTTTTTTTATATTTTATCAATCTTACCATAATTATAAGAGTATAATTAGAACTAATTGTTTTTTAAAATCCTTATAAATTTATTTTCAAAATACATTTTCATATTATTATAATATATATAATTAATTTTAATAGTAATATAAACTTAATTATATATATATGAAAAGTACTTATTTAATCAAAGATGTTATTTATGAAAAGAATCAAGAGAGATAATTTTAATTTCATAAAAACAAATTGAAAGAGATACTTTCATAAGTATTTTATCAAATAATAGTTCTAGCCATTACAATTAAATTCAGATGGGATTATGTAAAAATTAAAGCATAAACATGAATAAATGAAACTAACACAACAATTCTAAACTTAATAATAAAATATAGAAAAATCACGAATAGATAAAAATTTAATGTTAAAACTATTAAATAACAATAATAAATCAATGAATGGTGCATAATCAACAACACGTTCAAATAATAGAAGTTCTAAAGTCAATATGTATTTGAATACAATAAATAATGAAAATAAAAGTCTAGCAATTAGAATATATTCACTACCATCAGTCATTAATTCTTAAAAACATCAATAAGATTATTAAAATCATAAATCTGATTTAAGAATTATGTAGAGATTTCATAAATCAAAATTATAAACAAATTAAGATACCATTACTTAATAAATATAAAACATATTAGGAAAAGGATTTGAAGGATCAAAATATTCAAACATTAATTTTCTAAAATAAGTAGGAAAACAAAGTAAATTCTTATTTATAATACCACTATAATTAAGTTTGTTTTCAAAATTTAGTAATAATAACAATAATCCACCTCATTTTCAAATAAAAGCATTTAATGAATAAAAATATTTAGGAGAATCTAAATCATTATAACTTAATGAATTTCTTGGTTCTTTAATGGGAATTGTAGTTTCATCTGATATTTATACTATTAAATTTACACTTTTTAAAATTAAACAAAATGAGGATGTAAATATTTCATAAAATTCTGATTAGTTTGAGTTGGGACATTTTTTATTCACTGAATCAGCTTCCCCAATAAAAATTAAATAGTTAAGAGAGAATTTGGAAGTTTAAATCAATGATCCCATTGAATGCTATTTAAAAAAGGAGATTAACAATGAATAGGTTTGTGTGGGATTATTTGAATACTAGATAATTTAATTTTGTTATTGTTTAAATAAAAAGTATTTTACCATTGATTTACTAGTACATAAATAAAGAAAGATAATTTATTATAACCGTAATATTTAATTGAAGTAGTATAACCATCACCATAGAAATCAGTTTAAAAGAGTTAATCTGAAGTGGATAAATTGTAATTAGATTGATATTTATTTTACATATGATTTGTAATAATTATTAATTGTTATCATTATATTATTATTTTATAATAATAGCAAAGTATTTCTGAATTTAATAAATACTTATGCCAATAATTACAATTTAAATAAAAATCTGATTTGCAAGATTATTTCAATCAATTACTTAAAATTAATAAACTCTATTTAATTCAAAAAATTACAAAAATTTGAAAAATCAAAAATAATATTAAATTAATAATAATTTTGATGTTAGTCTTTTAAGAACTGTTAGATAATTATTAGATTATAACACTATCTTTATAAGATTCAATTATTTATCTATTAATCCATTAAATAATACTGTAGATATTAATTAGATGTCTATAATTATATTCAAACAATCTAAGAGACTCATAATTCTTAAGATGATTAAGTTGAATAAAATAAAGAAGATGTTTAATTAATCTATTGAAATTGAAAAAAGATTATTAATTTATATTTACATCAAAAATATTTTAAATTCTTTATTAATTTTAATTATTTGAATATTTAGTTTTTTTATTTTTATATACACTAATTCCATATCAATATTAAAATATAGAATGTCCTATCTTGAATACTAGATGGGCAACCAAAAATATATAATGTTTTTAATTTTTTCAATAGGACTCTTAGTGTAAATTGTCAATTCAAATTAAAATTGTGCATCTATAATAATGATAGAGAAGTGTGAAAATAGACAAGATTGCTAAGTTATCAATTAGAAATGTATCAATAGATGGAAGTAATGTGATTAGATATAGAATGCTAGTGTAAAAAAATGTAAAAAATTTAATTGTGACTATGATGAATTGCTATATTTATGCAAAGAAGTAGAATAATGATTTTATAATAGCCTTATTTCCAAAAATCTATTTTAGAATAAAAAATTCAAGAAAGTACAAATAAAAAGTCTTTCAATAGTTTAAGTAATCATTAACAACAAAGAAAATTCAAAAACTATGAAAAATGTTAAAAAAATGAAGTTAAATAATAAGAAACATACTCAAAACTTGAACTTAAAGCTATAATATAATAGATATCTGAAATAAATAATACTCAGTTTGAACAACTGAATTTTATAATTAATTTTGCTGCTACCTTTAGTCTTTCGTATATGATAATCAATTTAATAATTTAGTGAATTATAGTCCAAGATTAATTTATAATAATTTTTATGAATATTAAAATATAATTAGAATTCTAATATATAATATTATTAGTTGCATCAATGAAGGAATTTTATAAAATTGATGAAGATGATTATTTCAGATCAATATTTTTCATTTTGTTAATAAAAAAGCAAAACATTCTCTTATTAAGACAATATTTATAAAAATTTATATAATTTTGTAAAATAATCAAAAATTTGGTTGATCATAATAAATTAATTAGAAAATATTAATCAAATAATTAATCTAAAAATAAATGGTATCTATAATTATTTTAATACATCTCTGATATTCTGAATTGAAATCAATCGTAATATTTACTTAAATATATACAATAATGAATTTGAATTAATAAAGATATACAAAAAAAAGATATGATATGTTTAGAATACACCATTTATAATAACTCTATTGAATAGTTGATTAAAATATAAAATATCAAAATATATGAACATAGAAAACTTACATGATTAAACTCATCGTAATACTAGAAGAGGCATTGTATTCTCTCATACTCGCAAGACTTTTACAATAAAACCAGACTCTCCAAAAACAAGAGAAGCATGTCTTGCTTTAGGTTATGATCCTTAAATATTTTAATTAAAGTACTTGTTTACAATCTTATTGATTTAGAACTTTTGAAGAGTTTGCAGAACCAGGTTTAAGTGAAAATGTTCAAAAAATGAGATATGATCATTACATGAAAAAGACTGAAAGTAAAACGGAAAATGGATTAAAATAGGTGCTTTGTAAGAAATAAGCAAGATGCGTAAAGTGATTATTAAGAAATAAAAAGCCATTACAAATCTACATCTGGAGAAGAGTTATTAAAGAGATGAGGAGTATGAAATTTTAATTATTTAAGATTAGTGAATGATTTGATAGAGACCTATAATAAGAAGATGAGTAACTTAAATAATGTAGAAAATGATGAATCTTATCTTTCTTTTGATGATGAAGATCCTATTCTTGTTTTAGAATAATAATTAGAAAAGGAAATTACAAAGTATAAAAAATAATTGCAAGTAAAAGCTAAGGAAGTATAACATTAATTAGAAAATGAAAAAAAAAGATAAAAGTTATAGCATGATATGATTGAAAGAGAGAAGAAAATTGAAGAATTATAATAAAAAATAGCACATTAAAAGGAAATTAAAAAGAAATAATTAAAAAATGCAGCATAGAAAAAGTTTAATGAAATTAAAGAAAAAGAAAAAGAAAAATAAAGAAAATTACTATAAGATAAATAAAAATAAGCAGAAAAATTTGAGAAAATGTAATTTATTTATATATATATTTATAAGACGTAAGAAATTAGAAGAAGATTAATTATAATAAAAGAAAGAATTAGAAGAATAAGAAAGAAAATATTAAGAAAGAAGACATATTATCTAATAAAGAAAATAAATATAAGATAAAGAATATAATCAACATTTGGCTTCAACTATGAATTAGATAGAATTGAAATGGGTTGAGACTTCTTAAAATAAAGATAGATAGATATGGGAATCTAAATTAGAAAGATTAACTATGAGAAGTACTTTACATGAAGAAAAATTAAGATAATATAGACTCAAAACTTAATAAAGAGAAGAATCTTTGATGTAGTCAATTGTAAAGAAATTAGCATATAAAGAAGAAGATTTAAAAGGTAAATTTATGATATTTATTAATAGCATTAAGATAATCAAAAGAAAAGGAGGAATAAATGAGAATTAAAGAAGATAAAATAAGAAGAATGAAAATAGAAAAAAGTATAAAGAATATCAAATCTTAATAATTTGATAAAGTTGATACTTTATAAAAGAAATTTAAAATGCTTGAAGATTATTCAGAAAAAAGAAAAGAAGAATAAGAAAATTAAAAATATATAAAAAAAGAAAAAATGAAATTAAAATAATAAGACTTAATTGAAAATTATAAAAGATAAGAGAGATTAAAGGATTTAAAATTTAAGTAATTAATCAAATCTACTCAACAATTAAATGAATAAAAATCATTAGAAAAAATATCAAATGAACTAGTACGTAAAGCCTAATAAGAATTTTAGAGAAAATTTAAGAAAGATGCAGAAAATCTAGATTAGAGTTTATTAAGTGTGAGTTAAGCTGATGAAAAAGTTATGAAGTAAATATAAATATTTATTTTTAGTTAAATGGTCACTTAGCTTGAAAAGAATTTATAAAATTTGGCTCAAAATTCTAAAACATTAAATTGACAATATCTTTTGTGATATTGTTATATAAATTAAAATAAACTTTTATTTGATTATTAATTTATTCACTAATTAAATATAAAAGTTTTAAATTCAAAAATTATGTATATCATAATATATGACACATTATTTTTTAAATACTATTTGAAACAGATAATTAAATAAAATGATACTAGTTAAGATAAGGAACATATATATTATATTATAAATAAAAATTAAGTAATATGAGATAATTTTAAATAGAACTAAAGATATTTAATATTTATGAAATGATAATAATTAATTTATAGAATTTATGATTGTATTATTTATTTTTCATCACACAACAATTTCCATAAGTGCTGCTCTAGTTCTATCATTAAAATTATTTTCAAACAATTCCAACAATTAAAGTACAATCTAGATTTATTCATTTCTAGAAACTCTAGCTTGTTCAGCTGCATTGTTATCTTCTTTACAAGCAACATCAAATGATTTTCTTTCAACTTCTTTGTTGTCATAAATTATTTATTAAAGAAGTGCTTATTATTAAAGATCTTCTAATCTTTATTAAGCAAATTCAGCAGCAGCTTAGTCATCAGCAATTTGGCCAGATAATCTAACATTTTCTTTTTAAAGTCGAATTCTAAAGAGTAAATATAAAGAATAGATACAAGTCTTATTAGAAGAATTTCTCAGCCCAATCTTCAGCATACATTTCTCTCTTTTATACATCATATATGCTTTCAATTAAATCATTAATGATATCTACAATCACTTACACATTATCATTATCTGAATGTATTTTAGCATCAGAACATAATTCCATTAATAATGATGTGATACTCTTAAATTCTGAATTCTAAGCATAGTTTTTCACTATATAAATATAATTTATTATATTTACATAATTATTCATGATGATCTTTTAATTAAACTAAAGCACCTCCTGGATGTGATGTTTATAGTTATCTAATAATTTGTTATGCTTATTTTAAACCATTAATTAAACCAATCAATTCATCTCTTTTTTATTCATATAATTAATGATCTTTTCTTCTTTGTTCTGATAAATTTATTTATAATTGATCATTTCTTTGAATTTCAGCATTCTTTTATTCTACTTAACTCAATTTATTGGTTAATTCTTCTTATTTTCCTGGTATTTACCTTTCATAATCAGCTTTAGCTACAACAGCTTTCTCTTAAATTTAATTAATTAATGAAAACTGATCAGCACATTAAGCCTATCTTTCTCCATTAGCTTTACTAGATCTTGCATCTTCATCTCTTAAATCATAGAAAAGTTTGTTAAGCATAGTATAAATTTATCTCGCAGCATTTCTAATATATATTAATGATAGACAAGTACTCTTATGTAAGTTCTAATTGAATAGTTTACAATATTTGACGACCAAAACTATTTTAAGCTACTTGTTATAAAAATTCAGGTTGTTGACCTAAAGTGCAAACCAGAAGGATAACCAAAATTATGAATTTCATTATGAATAATAAAAAACGAATACAGAAAATAACAATAATGATAAAATTGTAATACTAATATAGATAATGAATTCATTAAATTCCTATTTATCTAAAGAATACCTTTACATGATTATAATCTAATTCAGTCAAATTATTATTATGTCCACAATCCACATTAATTAATTAACCAATTTTTGTTATATAATGGGATGTCAATTTCATTTCAATATTCGCTCCTCTTTCTGTAGATTCATTAAGATTATTTGTCTATAATGTATCATCCATATATTCTGAAAATCTATCAACTATTTTATTGAATTATTCTAATATTATTTAACCATCAAATTTTAACTAAATTTATTAATTTTATATACATTCTCCCAATCATTTTAATTTCCCTATAAATTTAAAAACTCAGTCATAGCTTATCTAAATATTGAATATTATTAAATGAAATTATGTTGATAATCATGCATTCCAAAAGTAAAACAACATGCAAAAAAACATTATATTTTCTCTTCAAAATTATCCTAATTGTAAATCAATAATTCTATCAAAGCTGTATTATTGTATTTTAAAGAAAATAGTATTTCAATCATTGAATATAAGAGTGGTTATAATCTTTCCAATTCTTCAGCTGTAATCAATTCAACATAATTTTATTAATTATGTTAATTTTAATTAATATTGATTAAAGTTCTATCTTATATATGTTCCATTTATAATTCCAATTTATGTTATTTTATTATTAAATTTACTACTCTACTTAAACTATTTAATAAAACTTTCATTTATTAATGATTCAGAATATTTTAATTGAAGAATATCTAAAAACTAGTTGATTCTTAATCTAACATAGATGTAATCTTGCTAAAATATTTCTCTTTATATGGACTGAACCACTCTCTTGCTACTGCTACTTATAATTAAGCAACGTATGGAATTACTTCATCTTTCGAATCCTATATAATTAATTTATGTCCTCTATAATTCCAATAGTTCATATATTAAGGTTTATCCCAATCTGTTATAATATTAAATAACATCCTTATACGACTACTAAAACATTTTGAAGCTATCTATCCTATTGATGAAAATGTTCTATCAACAATTAAAAAATCTAGATTGTTTAATAAAGCCACTTCTCCAGCAATTGAACCACCTAATGAATATCCTTAGATTCCAAACCTCATTATATTGAAGTGTTCTTTAAAGTAATTGACAATTGTGTTTGCATCTGAAAGAAGAGCTTTTGGATTGATTTAACCAGTACTTTAACCATATTATCTATAATTCCAAACTATCACATTGATTTTATTGTTTTCATAGAATCTAAACCAATTACACTAGATATATTGATTTCATATTACATCATAGAACATATATTCATAATATCCACCATTTGGATTACAAAAGAGAACTGTGTTATTTGTTTAACCATCTGTTTGATTGATCAAGTACATACAATCAATTTTAGACTTTCCATTCATTATCATCATTCTTTTTGCATTTGGATTCTTTAATTATAATCTAGCTCTGAATTCATTTAATCCACCAAATAATTCCAATGTACACCATCTTATTAATTTCTAAAAACCCTTTAATTATTTCACATGTTTATTTGCAATATTGTACATACTATCCAAATTGATTATCAAATAGTCAACATATTTTTATTCAATCTGATTACCTTTCAATATTTACTCAAAGAGATATTCATTGTTGCATTTAGTTCGAAGTATTGAGAGTATTTATTTAAGACAATTATGATATTCTTATTATAATTTACTTTGGTTCTACATTGTTTAAAATATCTATTCTTATGTATCAAACCATTATATAATGTTAACATTTGGTTATTTGCGTTGATATATAATTTCTTCGAATTCCTTTACCTATTATTAGACTATCTATATAATTAAGTTAAGTCCTTACCTTAGCATGTAACAAACCTTGATTATTTTAGTTAATTCTTTAGTATAATCTAAATGATCCAGGGTAGATCAACGCTTGGCATATCAACCTCAAGATCAAGTAGAGGATTATCAATAAGAATAATAAACTGAAAGTAAAGTCTAAGAATAAGTGAAGAACACTAAATGTTCCTAAAATAAATAGTAAAACTATGGCGTAAAGGCAAATAATGTGAGTATCCGTTTTAATATTAATAATAATGAAAATCATCGCTTTAGTGTTAGTTGGTTTATTGTGTGTTTCCGCTGAAACCTAAACAAGATCACCAGGCCAATTATTGGTTGATCATATCAACAGTTTGATCCTCTCAATCAGAAATGAATAAACAGAACATGACGATATCTACACAGTTTAATAAAGAGAATGCGGAGATGAATTAGGATTCAGAAAGAAGGAAGTCTAAGATGCCGTAGATGCCTTAACTAGAGCTACTGAACACAAGGGAAGAGCTTAAGCTGCTCATGCTTCAGCCACAGCTGATTTGATCAGAGTTAAGACCTATCAATAAATCCTTGAAGACTAAGTTGAGTTCATTACCACAAGAAGAAACGACAGAGCTGCCAACTTCAATAAGAAAGTTTAAAATATCAACACATCATTGTCTTTGATTGATGGTGCTGAATAAATTGTCAATGTAATTATTTATATTTAAATTATTAGGAATTCGCTAATGCCTCAGCCTCATTCATCTAAGTCACAAAACACTTCAATAATATGTTCCTCTAAGCCACCAAAGCTGGTAATGCTGGTGAATATGCTCCATTATTGTCAGTCCTTGTTGAATTAAGTGGAGACGGAAACGTTAGTGTTGATAACATTAACAGAATCAGATAATTATTAAATGAATTAAGAGAAAAATTATCAGCTGCTCTTTCATAATTGACAGACAATGAAAATACTTAAATCGAAGTCTTCTAAGCTAGAAAGAACAGAGTTCAAGATGTCATCACTCTTTTAGTCAATGTCTAAGGATAATTAACAGCTTATATTGCATAATTATAAGCCACCATCACCAAGGAAGAAGATATCATTAACTCAGCTACAAGCAAAAGAATCAGAAACTAAAACTTACTTAACTATGCTAGTGACATGTGCAATGCCTTCAATACTGAATACAATGATAGCACTGGTGCCAGAAGAAAGGAAGTTGAACTCTTAACCAAATTGAGAACCTTTGTTGAATAAAGAGTTGAAGAATTCAATCAATATGGAGGAGATCCCACTGATGTCTTTGCCAGTTATGCCAAATAAGGATCTGCCTAAGCTGCTGAGGCTTAATTCCTCTAACTTAGAGCTAACCTTAGAGCCAGAAAATGAGTTTTATAAATATCATAAAATTCAAACATAAATCCTAAATTTTCTTATTTTTTTAATATAAACTCAATTAAATTTAGGATAATTACTATTATTGTATGAATTCTAGGATTATGAATACTAATTCTATGGAACATAAGGAATTTATTAATTAGGAATTTATTAGTATTACTATTATTATGGATATTAAGGATATTATTATTATTATGGATATTATGGATATTATTATCCATATTAAGGATTCTATTATTATTATTATGTGTATTATTAATATGGTTATTATTAAAATGGAATATTTTATTAATATTAAGGTTGTTATTATTATATATTATTATTTTATTAATTTATCTAAGGTACAGTGATTGCAGAAACAGCAATCATAGGTTTAGCTACCTATATCTTTGGAACAATAAAAATTGGAGTTTATCCAGGAGTATTTGAAGGATTATTAACATTACTCTAAGTTCTTTCAGGTTATAAACTTATTTACTGAATTCTTAAAATTCCTAGTTTTTCCATTTCTATTTTAAAATCCTCAGGCAAAGGAAGAATATCTATTTCTAACCACTCTACTGATTTCTTATATCTATATATTAAATATTTTGATTTTACCCTCCTTTGAATCCTCCAAATGTGAATCCTGGAAAACAAAATCTAAAGGACTAATCTCCAATACCACCAAAGGTTTAAACCTTACCACGATAAGTTACAAATGTAATATTTATGATTCTATTCTTTTTAGCAGATTAGTATGCACCAAATATTTCACTTACGTAATCATCAGGTCCTATTTCAATTAAAACATTCTTAAGCTCTTTCTTGGATTTTGGGACATTATGACCTGCTTTCAATAGGTCTCCAGCATTTAATTTGTAAAATATTTCAAATCCACGTACACTAAAATATAGAATGGAACAAAATACGATTTTTCTGTATAGAAAACTCTTATAGCTTAGATCTTTTTGTAACCTCCAACCTTTTAGAGTTGTTTTACATCATCAAAAACTTCTAATTTTGAATTTTAAATTCCTATTTAAACCTTATTAGGAGCAATAATTGCTGCTTACATTATTTATTAAATATTAAAAATCAATCATCTTTTAACTCTTTCAAATTTTCCTTACTTCTCTTGTTTCGTATTTGGATTCAATTCTTTTTCTGGACGTTCATCACTAAACATTAATGTATTTGGATTATCTTCATCTAATATAGACTTTGGCATAGGCTTTCCTTCCCAAAAAGGTCCACTAAAATGTTATCTATCTAATAGTTCTTTATGTCTAAATCAAAATGCTTAACATACTTTTTCAAATCATCTGGATCAACATTAGCTGCATACCAATTTGAATAATCAACTTCCTTTCTTTTTTCTGCCTATCCTTAAACCAAATTTCCATTTTAATAAATATAAGTACCTTTTTTCAAATCAATATCCTCCTTCTTTTACTATTATTCCTATTACTCATTCAATTTTTAGATAATGCTTTCTGGAGTTATTTCATCTTCTTAAGTAATTTATTTGAAAGGAATATTTGGATTTGTTAATTTCAGAAAATTGATTTAGTAGTGTATTTCTTTGATTATTTAATCTTCAGGTTTATTTTCCTATACTATTTTCATTAGATTTAATGAAGCCCTTTATTATTTTTATTAAGGAAGTTGATCAATAAAATTTTTAGCAGATAATAATAATAGTCTCACTTCTTTCCTAATCATTTAATTAATGAAATTTATAATATTTGAATAATTATCATGCTTAGCTCACTTAACTCATAATAGTCAACCATCTGAATTTTCAATTATTATGAATGTCTTAATTGTTAATTTGTAATATCTTGCTTTAATGCTTCCTTTAAATGGATGGCATTTATGGAATTATATAGATGGTCATCTTTATCTTTTAAAATAATTTGCATAAGCAACTTTAATTATTCCATATGGCTTTGAATCTTAAATTGATTTTGGTCCTTTTGCTTTAGCTATGGTAATTATGTTGCTAATTTCATTTTTTGCAATCATTATAATATTAGTTACATTTGGAATATTTGATAACTAAAATCCAAAAGATCATTATTCATTAAGAAAATTTATTTTTCACTATTTATAAATTTGTGTAACAACCTTATAATTGCCTATACTTTTTTTATTTTTTGCATTGATCATAATTGGATAAACAAAAATAAATTAACAAGATACTATTATTAATCTCAAAAGTATTTTAGGATTGATTGGAATATTAATCTTTTCTATTTTTGTATTCCTTTATTATTACTTTTTAAGAGCTTATACTTTTATGCCCTTTCATTATTTTTAATAAAAATACAATCTACTCTAAATTATACATTATTTATTTAATATTCTAAATGTCATTTTATATATTATTGATAATGATATTTTGATAGAATATGTAAAAATAGCTGTTCTATTTTTATTATTTATATTAAGGCTAACAGAGTTATATTATTTTAGACCATTTATACCATACATTAATTAACTCTTATATATGTCCCATAGTAGTTTACTTGTAATACTACTAATAATTAGTATAAATATTTTGATGGCCGATAAACACATTTTGCATGAAGATTAATTACTTTACACAATATTAATGTTTGGAAGTTTATCATACTATTTTAGTAAAATGAATTATGAGACTAAATGTTTATCCACTTTTAATTTCGAAATGAATTCTTTTTCATGTATATATTATACTTAAGAGATGCATTTCAAATATTTATAGACAATCGAAAATTAAAAATAAAAAGAATTCTTTCAACTTTATTTATATTGGAAAGGTCATAAGGTTGTATGTACTAGACATTGGCTTAAGGAGACATATAAAACTGAATATAATTAAATTTAAAGAACACATTAAACAATTTTTTGTATTTTAAATACTGAATTAGAAAAAGCTCAAATGGATTAAAGAGTATCTTATGAAGAATTATTATTGTTATATATTAGTTATGTTGCATAATTTTGTAAAAAACCACTTTTAGCATATACAGAATTAAAAAGATATTAAAGTTAAAAATAGATTTAATCTTATTATTTTATTTGTATTCGTTATTAAATGAGTATTTATTTATAAGATTTAATAAAAAATTAACAATAAGAAAATAATTAAATATCTTTTTAAGTAGGAAAACAAATATAATCTGATAGATAACTAAGTATTCATGATGTATTTGAAACAATGAGATTTTAAGATCAATTCATTCCTTCCCTTATTGAAATATTAAGTGATAAAATTAATTTTTGGACTAAATAAATAAAAGGATTCAATTCAATTTATGAAGTTGAAAAATTAGCCATAGCTTAAAGTTAAAAAATTCATAAATTAACATCACAAATAAAATAGTATTGTTCAATTGATATTAATAATTTAGATCATATATAAATAAATAATAATGTTTAAAATTTAAAGTTATTATCAATATTTTGCAGTTCTATACTGAATGACTATTATAGTTCATAGATATGTGAAACTGCAATTACTGATGTTTATAATATAGAACATACATTTTAAGAAGATGCAATAACTAATTTAGCATTTATATAAGAGAAGGCTGTCTTAATAATGATTAGTATAGTAAAAAATAGAGGGAAGATTATAAATAAAGATAAGAAATTAATTTCATAATTTTTTGGCTATTCAGAGAAAGAAATATTTGAAATTGATAATATATCAGGTTTAATGCCTTAATATTTTGCTGAACAACATGATAAATTATTGTTAAATTATTTACAAACTGCTAGATCTGGATTTTTTTAAAATTTTAATCAAGTATTTGGATTAAAAAAAGAAGGATCCCTAAATTCATATTAATTAAAATTAGATCATAATTTTAGTGAATTGGATGATTATGTTTTAATTGGTTGTTTATCAGAATTTAAAAAAACAAATGATTATATTCTTTTTAATGAAGAAGGTTTTTTAATTGGAATGACAGATAATTTTTATTATACAATTATTAATTCTAATGATTAGAATTTTAAAATTTCAAAAGATAATATTGGTTAAATAAACATCTTTTTGATAATTTCTAATATTATGGATATATTAAATGAATTTAAGATCAATTATGGTAAAGATGTTATTAATAATTAATAAGATAGATATTTAAAGATTTGGAAATATGCAAATAATAAAGATTTATTGGAAAATTCTTAAAAGATGTAATATTATTCTTCAAAATTGAATTCTTGTTTTAATGAAAATAGTCTATTAAAATCAAGAACATCAAATATTTCATTAGAGAGAGAAAAAGCAGAAATATAAATATATGAATAATTAGGAAGGAATAATGGAGAAAAGAAAAAATATAAAGGAACATAGTTATTATAATCTTTATCAATATACAATATTTAATTAGGAAATTAATTATAAAATATTCTTTAAGCCTTAGAAGTAATAATATTTAGTATTATAGATTAAAAATAGATCTCATTTTATGGCAAAAACTAATATTACTTTTAAAATATTAGGCAAAAAAACATCCAGAAAATGCTATTTTATTTTAGAAATAATTGATCTAAAAAAAGCAGATGATTTGCTTAAGACAAACGAATCATTAATTAATAATTAATACACAACTTCAATTTAAACAACAAACAAACGTATGTTGTCTTAGATCTTTATTTTTAGTTTTTTTAAATTCAGATTAAAACCAAAGTAATCTTGAAATATTTAAAGTTGATAAAGAAGAAGTTACTCCAAATATTTTAAAGCCATCCTAACCATTTTTGTAGAGACTTATTAGTAAATATGAAATAAAATCATAATAATAATATCTTGATATTTTAGGAATGGAATCTGCTAGAGATAGTGTCAGTTATGGACCATTATCATAAAGAATTAATTTTATTAGTCCATCTTCTAAGTAATAATAAATGTAAGAATTAATTGATAAAGATTTTACAGATCTTCAAAATTAATTAGAATATATAAATTAAGATATCAACTAAGATATTGAAATTCCAGACTCTTCACGAATAAAGAGTAATAGTAAAGAATAAAATTAAAAAAGTCATAATATCATTGAAATCTATCAAAATAATAAGTTAAATTAAAAAATAGAAGATATGGATAGAGATGTCAAAAAGTCAAAATCTAGTATTACATCTGGAACTTCTGGTATATCAGCTATATCAACTATTAAATAGTTTCAGTCTAATACTTAAATGACAGATAGTCTTAAAAAACTAGCTATTATTAATATTATAATAATGATAATAATTATAGGTTATATTATGGCCCATTTGATAAAATTATAAACTTATACACATTAAACTTAATAAACTTTAGCTAATATCAATGGACCCACTTTATTTAATCGTTATTTTTTTAAAATCTTCACTTATACTTGGAGTTTAGTATTTAATACACTTGATATTATAGAAAGTAGTAATTTTATTATAAAATCTACGATCTCTGAAATGCATGAATTATCTAAAGTAGTATTTATTGATTTAAGCAGAATGTATGATATTTTTATAGGGATTGAGGAATCAGGAATGTTAAGTTATATTAACTTAGATTTTTTATATTAATCAAATGAAAATGTAACTTATACATATTTTATAAATTTAATTTCTGCTGTTTCAGATACATTATTTGAAGCTCTTAAATATGATGTTACTACACTTATTCAAATAATTGATAGAAATTATTTAGATAATTTATTAATGTTAAGATACAATCTTAAAAATGTTGTAGTGATGAATTCATAATTAATTGATTCTTTAAATGAAGTTTATTTCAAATAATAAGATGATAATATTTAAGAATTTTAAATATAAATTATTTTAGAAATTGTTTTCTTACTCATTATAATATTATCATAATTGATTTATTGGAAATAAATTGAATAATATTGTTAATAAATATTAATACTAGCAGGTAGATTATAATATATACAAGCTTAAGAAATGATTTTAAGATTTACTTTTGTAATTGAAACTTTAAAATCATTCTCTGGAAATTAAAGTTGGAAGAAATAAAACTTTTATAAATTATTATTTTTTCCATTAAATGAAATAGGAATAGATACTGTTCAAAGTTAATCTAGAATTTTAAAAGATTATTAAAGTTCATAAATTAGTTAATAATTAAGAATCAATTAAGCATTTGATGAAAGACAAAAAAATCTAAAAAAGAATTTAAATGTTATGTTAAATTCTAAAATTAATAATCCAAACACTACAATTTTAAAAGCTACAATTTAAACAATAATAACATTTATAATCTTTTTAATCTATCTTTTAGGTGGATTTTTATTATTTCAATAATAATAAAATGATTTATTACCAACTCAATAGTTGACTTTAAGTTTTATAAGATTTACATCATAATTGGATATAGTAGTTAGTACAGCATTAATTACCAAATCCTAACCTATTTTATATGATAAATTAGTAGAAATGAATATATATACTAATAAAGAAATAGATAGATTTAGAGATTAAAGAAAAATTATTAAAATTTTTATCTCCTTATACTCAATCTATTATGAAAATATTACTTCAATTTATGAGAATATTATTAAATCTAATAAAATAACAAGTGAAGATGCTAGCACATTGCTTTCTTTATATTAAGGAGACTTTTGTATGGAAATTGGTTCTGATGTGCCCTTTTGTAATTATGATACACTTCCTAATTTTAATTCTCTTTATGGAATTCCAGATATCTAAGATGACAACAGAGAGTATCTAAGTAAAGGTATACAAGGAATTGTAAGTAAATTAGACACTTTTTTCAAATAAAATTATTAATTTGAAATTAATAATACTGAATATTTTCCAGATAAAAATGTAACTAAAGATGTTTTAATTTCAAAAGATTTTACAAATGCCATAATGGAACATTTCTTAGATACAACAGATGGAACAAATTTATTTCTAGATAAATTGATGTAAGCTATTAATAAAATAACTAATGATAATCTGTATTTATCATATACATATTATTTAATCACTGGATTTTTATTATTAGTTATTTTCCTTACTTTTTATGGATATTGGATATATAACTCAAATCAAAGATTAATCTTACTTAGGTTAATTCTAACAAATTTACCTATTGAAGTCTTAACTGAATAAAATACATTGAGCTTACTCAGAAAATTATAATGAAAGATATTAATTTAATAATTTATTTATATAATATGATATTTTTATTATAAAATAAGCAATAATATAATGATCATTTATTAATTAATAATATTATAGAAATTAAATATTTTGAAAGTTTTAAATTAATATTTCTAATTTCAATTATAAATAAAGATTAATATAAATAAATAGTTCATTTTAGAAGTTTCAACAAAGATATTGTATATATGTCAAGCATAATTTCAATTGGCAGCAGAGTTATCAATAATCTAATGTAAATTAGTCTTAAATTAACTTTCACTACTATAAAAGCTGATGAAGAAAGAAGAAAAACAGTAAAAATTACACCAACTGCTATTTAATATATATTATATTATTTTTGCTATTCTTCAATTACATTAATTAAACAATCTTACATCCTATCAATAAATGCTTCAAATCCAATATAAGTATCAAGATAATATTATATTATGATGTTATTAAAATCCTATGTATTGATTTAATGATTCAATAATGTAAAGTCATTAATTGGTTATCCTGTTAGAATTTCTGTTTCATAATATTAATTTAAGAAATTATCCATTTTACTCACCATTCCAGAAATTCCTTTACTAAGATATTCAGAATTATTATCTTTAATTGAATATTATCCAAATTTATTTTCAAAATTAATTTAACTTAAATTTCTATTACAAAATGCCATTTATGATTAAAACAATTAGCAAAAATCTCCATTATACAAATCTAATATAAATGTTTCATCATCTTCATTCAAAGCATCAGATTCTATTATATGATCATAGATATCATGTAAATTACTATGATCAAAGCTATATACACTAAGTAAATGAGGGATTGTATTTAATTATTATATATATTTATTGAGAATCCTTGCAGAAAATGGAATTTTCTCTTTTATGTAATTATAAATCTAAAATTCTGATTTTATTATTAGTGAAATTGCTACAGTATTTTCAAAATCTATATAAAATGATATATAATCCATAGCTAATTCTTGAGTAGGTGATAATTGTAAGGTTTAATCATTAAATATCAGATAACAGCCTATGAAATACAAAATAATTATAATAGCAAAAATTAATACTAAAATACTTTTAATCATTAGTCTAATAGAGGATTTTTATATTCTAGAGTTTAATGGAATAGTTGATTATGAAGATTATTTAATTTAAGTTTCAATAAATTTTTAACTATTTTGGAATAAAATGGATTCTCGATATTTCATTTTAGTAATTTGCTTTAAATTGTTCTTCTTTAAAGAATTTTCTATATAACAAAGTTTATAACAATTTCTCTATTTATAACCAAATTCACCATATAGTTATTTTATTACTGGAATTATTAATTTAAATTTACTAATTTAAGATTCTGCTGCTTTTTCACTCAATCTATTTGATAACATTAAAATTCTTTAACAATATAACTCTATTTTTCTCCAAAAAAATAATTATGATATAATGACAATTCCAATTACTATTATTTAAATTAATATTAAATTAAAAAATTTGGATATCTTTCCATCTTATTAAACTCCATAATATTTACTCAATGAAATAATAAGTTTTTCATTGTTTATGACAATATTATCAAAATTTATCCTATATTTTAATAAATTCATATAATAATTTTATTCATTCTCATTATACAATAATCTATAACCAACTTATTCAAGATAGTAAAGATAATCAGTAAATTCTACATTTTATACCTATAAATTTTATTCTAGATGAACTATTTAAATTTCATCTAAATAATTATTTTCTTCTAAAGCTATAAAACTTCCATACATTATTGTCAAATTTTAAAATGTGCTCTGCATACTAACTCTTTAGTTTTAAAGTTAATTATCAATAAATTAACTTGTATTTAAAATGTTCATTTTTTACATTGACATTATCCAAGAATGAGTAAATACATTTAAAAAATATTTGTTAAAATTTATAGGAAGATTGATATCAGATAAAAAATTTTTTGCTTGATTATTAAAGGTTAATACCTAAGCCAAGTTGATAGACATGAATATAATAAATAGGATGATTATTATTAATTTTAAGATAGATATAATTGTTAAACTCGATATTAAAGAAGTTTAAGTTTTAAAATTGTTAACTATTTCAATCGCTGTTTATCCAGATTAACCTGATTTACCACTTGATTATGATTTAAGTAATAGTCCTTGATTAGATTTAAGTTCATTGTTTTTTTACATAATCTAATTAAAATCATTGCTAATTATTTCTTCATGAAAACTCTCTGATTCTACTTAAGCTATTGTACCTATTTAATTAGTTCTTTTTTGACTAACATAATTTAAAATTTGTTTTGATCTAGAATGTTAATCAAGAAAGCTTTATTATTATTAAATTTAAGATCCCATGGGACTCATAATTGATGAATCCATCTATAATTCTGGACTCCTATAATTTTATTAGGATTAAATAATTTAACTAGGTCTTCTGTTGAGATTTCTAATATTAGTATTACGCAATTAACTTTATTATTTTTTTATTTATTTCTTTTCATCTTCTTTAAGATTACCTTTATCAATAAAATCAGAACAATCTAAAATAAAATAATTGTATTTTTGTGCTTTTTTACCTATATCTACAATTTTAATTTTAGCAGTGCATAAGTACATGGTCTTTTATAAATCCTAAAGATAGTTATAGAATTACATCAATAGCATTTAAAAATTCAATCAATTATTGTTCTTTTTATTATTCTAAACTAGATAAAACACTTTTTCCCTCTTATTTAAAATCATTTTATGGTTCTCTATTTGTATCTAAGTTTATTATATCTTCTTAATAATTGTTTTAATATGATTTTACATCAGTAATCAATCTCTAATTCATTCCATTTCTAGGACTATTTATCATAGAATTTAAATGTTCAAATTAAGTATATGTTTTTGTTTACTCAATTTACTTTAAAGATTAAGCTTAATAAGTTGTAAAAATAGATTCATGAATTTTGGATAATTAAACTAAATCTTAATAAACATAAAGAATGACTGATTTTTATAAAAATCCTCCTTCTTTATTTTTGTTATTTTATAGCATATCATTAACATACATATGTATATGTGGAAGAAACATGTAGATGTAAAATAGCTCAATATTTTATAAGAAAAATTCTTAATTTTCTTTTGGTATCAATAATTTACTCATTTCTTAAGTGATACCAATACATTTACCAAATTCATCAAATAACAAATAATTATGAGATTCTTTTATTTTTGTCATACTACCAATTATAGTAAAATCATCAAATATATTATAATTATTATATATGTTAAGATATTAAGGTATAATAAATCCATTTTTACCTTTTGCAAATGTTATGGCATCTCTAAATACAAGATCTGTCTTTGCTTCTTTAATATATTATTATAGAAAACCATCATGTAAATAACCAAAATATGATGGCATCAATTCTCTTATATAATTAATTTAATTAAAATCCATTAAAGAATACCCAAAATAATTTGCTAATTGACTCTTATTTTTATTAAGTATTTATCCTAATTGTTTAACCATACTTACAATTATCAATACTGAATTATCTTATAAAATATTTGATCTTGATAATGTTTTTTATTAAATAATGGTTTCTGCTTTCATTATATCAGAAATTTTCTATTCACATAAAAAAGAATTATAATAGTCATTTAATACAAAACTATGAAACATAGAACAAATTTTCAAAGTTAAAATATTTTCACAATTTTTTATATATTCATCTTTTATAACATTAATTTATTATCCTCTTAAATAAATTATACAGTCTACTATTTTTTTACTTAAAGGAAGTGCAAAAGTTTAAAAATCATAAATAGATTAACATCCTTATATTTAAAATTCCCAGATTCTTATTTTAAATTAAATAATCTCTAAAAGTGCTTTTTAAAATGTTTCTTCTAATTAACAAAATTAGTAAAGTTCAAGTGTTGTAATTCTTTTTTCATTACTGATATTATTTTTTAATTATTATAATTATTCATTTTAATAAATCTTTTGAACATCTGATACTTTTCTTTGTATATATAATTCAATTCTTTTTTTAATGAATTCAAAATAATATGATTTAGTATAATTATTATTTTATTCAAATCTTTTAAATTCAACATAAGCAACAAGTGGTTTCTTTCTAATAAGAGCAATAAATGATACAAATAGTAATTATATTTCTTCTAAATCATTTCTTTATTCATAAATTAGATCAAAAAATATTTCAGTTATTAAATACAAACCTAACTTATAATAATCAGCCATATTTGTACTTTTATTACTTAAAAGAGCCTTATCTTTAAATTTTGAAAATTTTTCATGATTAATCAATTGATAGATGAGTAAATGTTACATTGTTATAGAATTTGAATTAATTTAACTAATACAAGAGTATAATTCATATATTTAATTCAATTATCTAGTTCTTTTATTGAAGTTATATTGAAAAAGAAACTAAAATATATGATTTCCTAAAATTAATCCTAAACTTAATATAAACATTATATAAATAGCTATCTAATCTTCAGGAAATATTTGATTTTTAGATGAAACATTAAATGTTATTAATATTGCTAATGATTCTAGAGTGAATGATATTTCAAAATCAAGCATATTTTTATTTGGAAAATCAGATTGATAGTATAAATGATTTACAATTTTAATGATAAAGATTATATGTAAAATAAATAAACCAACAAGATTATATAATTTAGATTAATCATCTAAAGTTAAGACAATAGCAACTAAATTTAATAATATTAATGAACTTCTCAATTTTGTAAATTTTTATTACATTGGATGATAAGCAATAAAAGAATACATTCTTAAAAAATATTCACACACTAAAACATAAATAGAGTATAAAATTAGTGTACAAATATTTATAATTAGTTAATTTGTCTAATTGTTATTGTTAGCATCTATAATTTGTTATATATAAAACTTATAACATGGTATTTGTAGTGTTTAAATTGTAAATAATATAATTGAACACAAGAGACTAGTTCTCCCTTCCAAATACTTTACTTTCTATTTGTTTGAACTCACTTCTAAACTGAAAAAACACAAGTAAAATAACAGACTTAATAGTATAATGAGACTAAAAATTGTAAAAGGATAGTAGATGAAATTATTTTGAAATTCGAAAAAGGGTGTTATAGTAAAATATGAGGATGCTTTAGATATAAAAATTAAATAGCCATCGTTATATTTCCAATATTACCATCCATGTTGTGGTAATAGTAGAGATATATATTAAATATATGGTACTATGACTAAAAGCTTAGCGATTGTATCTTCTCCAGAATTCTTATGTTATGAATGAGCAATAATTGTTAAGTTAGCTATCAATGAAATTCTCATTAAATATATTCCTTATAAAACTAAATTATTGAAGCTTATTTTAAACAATAATTTAGTATTGCTAATTTGGATAAAGTGCAAAAATACGTGTTTTAATTATTTATAGGATTACAGAAAACATGATACAAAAGAAATTGCTATTTAATATAATAAAATAATAAGTATGATTAGATAAATACTATTTATACAAAAAATATTTTAATTTAAATATGATTTTACGTTTTTCTAATAATCAATCGAAATTATGATTATCTGAGAAGTATATAATAAATCAATCTTGAGATTATATTTATTAATTAGTTTTACAAATATATATAATTCTTTCTTTCTTTTTATTTTATTTAAAATAATAGATTCTTATTCATATTCTTTATATAAAGAGTTTTGTTTTCATATATAAATTTTACTCTTTGAATTACAATTAAAAAACTAATCGATTTGTATTTATATTTTATAAAATTCATAAATCTAATTTTTGTTAATTCGATATGATGATGCTTTATAAAATTAAGATTATTTTTATCAATATGTATATCTTTAAAAAATCTTTGTATTTTAAACAATTGCATTTAATAAATAAAATGCACTCCTCAAATATAATATTTATTTAATAATATGAAACCTATTGTATTTAGGATTGACCCAAATGTCCTTTCTCAATTCGTTAAACCTACAGGACAAAAGAAAGAGGAGACTTCCTAAATAAGTCAAGTTTAAGATTGCTTGAAAGTAATTATTAATCTATATTATTTAGTAATTGAATATAGATAATGATGAAGATGTAGATTAATTTACAAATCAACAACCTTCACAACCTATTATAAAAAATAGATCTAGAACACTATATTCGAATGGATCAACTCTACCTGAAACATTATCTAAGAACTCAAATTAATAGATTCAAGAGATTAATCTATCAATTAGTGGATCATCTTTAGGTTGGGATGAAGTATTTAGTTCAACTATGCCAACTTCATTCTAAATGTTTTAATTTAAAAATAAAAGACGCTATGAACCTTAATAATAAACAACTCAATTCTAAATTCAATTACAGAATGTAAAATATATAATTATCATAAAGATACCAAAAGACAATCGTACAACTTTAATGATTAAGAATATACCAAACAAATACTCTTAACCTCTTCTTCTTGAAGAGATAGATTGCAATAATAAAAATACTTATAATTTTTTTTATTTGCCAATTGACTTTACAGTATTAATTTTAATTTAATGATAATAGAACAAATGCAATGTGGGATATGCATTTATTAATTTTTATGATTCATTAGACATACCAAAGTTTTATCTAGAATTCCATAATAAAAAGTGGAGTAAATTTAATTCAGAAAAGGTATTTCATTTCTAAATTAATATAGATTTGTTAAATTACATATGCTAGAATCCAAGGAGTAGAAGAATTATAAGGACATTTTCAATATTCTACAATAATGTAAGAAAAAGATAGAAGATTAAAACCTATATTTAAATAAAGTTCAGAGTAAAAACTAAAAAGAAAATGATAATTTGTTTCAATTAATTGTAAAATCTCATCAATTTTATATTCTATATATTTCTTTTAACAAAAATTAAACCATTTCTTATCTATTATTCTTTTCATTCTCATTAATTAATTATTTTATTAATAATCCTGAAATTTCTTAGAATATTAACAAAATATATACTAAAAATATTTAAAATTAATATCACATAATACGAATTATTTAAATCAAAGTAATATTCAATTGATTCATTCATAAATCTTAGTATATATAGGATTGTGTTATATGAGATTCTTTGATATAATAATAATTAGCCTTAAATGAAAAGACTTATCATTTGTGCATTTTTATCTGTTGTGTAGTGTTGGTGGGATATGGGACATATGATGACTGCTTAAATAGCTAAAAATCAATTAAAAGATAAAAGACCAGATGTTTTAGCTTGGGCAGATTCTCTAGTTTAGGATTTTAATCATCTCACTGATGGTCGCACAAACACTTTTGTTGAAGCAGCTGTATGGATGGATGATATAAAAGAGACAGGAACCTCTTTTCTTAATGATTGGCATTATACAGATAAACCAATCAATCCTGATGGGTATAGAATATATATTATATAAATCTAGACTCCTAATCAAAATTGAAGATCAAGGAAGGAACATTAATTCAATTTATGCAATTAATCAAGCTACATCTGTTTTGACTAATAGCAAGACTGCTAAGAATCGTCATACTGTATTTAAAGCTTAGATGTTGAGAGTCTTACTTCATGTCATAGGAGATATGCATTAACCATTACATGACACCACATTTTGGAATGAAACTTTTCCAAATGGTGATGCTGGAGGCAATTTCATGAAGATTCAAGTATGATATTTTATAAGATTTAGTTAAAAAATGGTACTTTTGTCAATTTCCACTCCTATTGGGATTCTGTGGCCTTTACTATGGCTTCAAATACTACATACATGTCTAGACCATTATCTTAATCAGATAATGAATATCTTGATAAGTGGTCAAATGACATAATTTAAAAATTCCCGATTAATAAATATTCGAATTATGATATGACGTATTTGACGTATTATAACATAGTAATCCTACAGTGTGGTCATTCTTGGGATTCAGATAGGCTTAATAATTTGTTTATCCTATGCTATAGAAATCTAACACATACAATAATGATTATGAAAAATAGGCAATTGAATTTTGTTAAGAAAATCTTGCTATTGGAGGGTATAGATTGGCATCAAAATTAATTGAGATTTATGATTAAATCCTATAAAATGAAGCTAAGATGTCGATAGCAGAATGAAAAATGATATATTTATATGATTTCTAAATAGAGTTTGTACTTAATAAAAAATCTCATTGTTAAAATAAGAAATTAAATTAATTATGTTATTTAAATATTACAATTAATTTCTATATTAAATAAATGAATAAGGATGGTAAAGGTGAAATTGATGTGGATAATATAATTGAAAGGTTGCTAAGTGTAAGAGGAAGTAAGCCAGGAAAGAATGTGAATCTAAGTGAAGCTGAAGTAAGAGGTCTTTGCATCAAAGCAAGAGATATTTTCATATCTCAACCTATTTTATTAGAATTGGAAGCTCCTTTAAAAATATGCGGTAGATATCTAATCATTTATTTATTTAGGAGATGTACATGGATAATATTTTGATTTATTGAGACTTTTTGAATACGGAGGGTATCCACCTGAAAGCAATTATTTATTCTTAGGTGATTATGTAGATAGAGGTTTAAATTAATTTTAATTTTAGGCAAATAATCATTGGAGACTATATGTTTATTATTAGCATATAAGATTAAGTATCCTGAAAACTTCTTTCTTTTGAGGGGTAATCATGAATGTGCATCAATAAATAGAATCTATGGATTTTATGATGAATGTAAAAAATTATCGATTAATAGGCAAAAGAAGATACACAATTAAATTATGGAAAACATTTACAGATTGTTTTAATTGTCTACCTGTTGCAGCATTGATAGATGAAAAAATCTTATGTATGCATGGAGGATTATCACCTGAACTTTCAAATTTGGAATAAATAAGACGAATAATGAGACCAACAGATGTGCCAGACACTGGATTATTGTGTGATTTATTATGGTCAGATCCTGATAAAGATGTGTAAGGTTGGGCAGACAATGAGAGAGGTGTATCATATGTATTCAGTTAAGAAATTGTCCAAGTGTTCTTAAAAAAACATGAATTAGATCTAATATGTAGAGCTCATTAAGTATTAAAATTAAATTAATTATTCTTAGGTTGTAGAAGATGGATATGAATTCTTTTCAAAAAGATAATTAGTCACTTTATTTTCAGCACCAAACTATTGTGGAGAATTTGATAATGCTGGTATTATGATAATTCTATAAAATTATAGGTTCTATGATGTCAATTGATGAATCCTTAATGTGTTCTTTCTAAATTCTAAAGCCAGCTGAATAAGGTTAGGGAGCAGCTTAATAACATAAAACTGGTAATGCCAAGTTTGTAAATTGATTTAAATTAATTTTATTTTACAAATTTTTCATTACATTTATTTATTTATATACCATTATCATAAGGTTGGTATACTACCTTCCATAATTAATTTTCTTGTATTATCAAAAACCTCTTCTGGATCTACTTTGACTTGTGCAACACCACTTTCCATAGCTGCAATTGCAACTGCTCTAGCAACATTTGCTGGAATCTCAGCAGTTAAAGCTCCAGGTAAAATTCTGATTGGTGATAATTCATTTTCTTTGATACTATTAGCTATAGCATATGCTGCTGCAATCTTTAATATAAATTAATATAAGATACCTTCATTTATAAATTGATCTCTTTGGCTTTTGTATCAATAGCTCCTCTAAAAATTCCTGGAAAAGCCAATGAGTTATTAACTTAATTATTAAAATCAGATCTTCCAGTAGCAACAATAAATGCTCCTGCTTTAATAGCTTCATCTGGCATTATTTCTGGAATAGGATTTGCTAATGCTAGAATAAATGGATCCTTATTCATTGTTCGTACCATATCTTATGTTAATGCTCCCTAAGTTAAATCTCAATAATAAGATATACAGCACTAGAGACACCGACAAATAAATCTCTTCCTTTGACTGCATCTTCAAGTTTACCAGCTATTTTATTTTTATTTGTAAATTTAGCTAGATCATTTTTAAAAGAATTCATATTTTTTGGTCTTCCTTCATATATGACTCCTTCAGTATCACAAATTAAAATATCCTCTACACCATGACCATGAAGTAACTTACAAATTGCAACACCTGCAGCACTAAGAAAATAATTTTATATAATACCCTGCTCCATTAATGACTAATTTCAAATCTTTTACATTTTTTTTGGTTAATTTCAAGTAATTGATGAGTGCAGCTAAACTGACAACAGCAGTACCATGCTAATCATCATGCATCAAAGGAATATGAATGCTATGGATAGCTTCTTCTTCTATGGGGAAACAATCAGGAGCTCTTAGATCTTCTAAATTAATTGCTGAAAATATTGGTGCAATGCTAAATATATATATAATATTTATTACAATCTTATTAATTATACTAATTTATGAGGGTCTCTTTCTTTGAAACAGATTGGCATCAAATCTATACCACCTAAAGCATTAAATAATACTGATTTTCCTTCCATTACTGGTGATCCTGCAGAAGGTCCAATGTTACCAAGTCCAAGAATAGCAGTTCCATTTGTTACAATAGCAGCATAATTCTTTTTTATTGTCACTTCACGAATTTTCTTGGGATCAGCTTCAAATAATTTTTGAATTTCTAAAATGTCATTATTTCTATAAGAGAGTTCATAGATTCTATATAAATCTTCTAAAGATCTTGGATTAAATTTTAAAGCAATAGTAATTACACCATTATATCTTTTATGTAATTCCAGTGAATTTTAATTAATATCATTATTTTATAAGAATTATTTTGGTGTCCATCTATTGTAGTATGCAATTTCACCATACAAATACAAATCATTTAATTTAGATACAAATTAGGAAGGAGTTATATTTTTTACAGTATGATGAAATAATCCATTTTTATGAATCTCATTCAAACTAACTGCATAGGCAGAACTTAGAGTAACTGTTAAGTAGCTAGGTAACTATGTGAAATCTAGGTCTTTTAGTTTGAGTCTAATTTGTTCGATTTGAGTTGGTTTCAAAATAGAACGAGAATCAAGAACACTCTTAATAAGAGCAGCATCTTTTAATTATTCAACTAAAGAATGAGTGTTGCTTATAACAACAGTACAATCTAATTTAGCATTTTCCAATTTCTACAAAATTTCTTGAGTTAACTTTTCTTCAATATCCACTAATACTATTGTCTAAAAATAGAAAAAGGATAATACTTTATATGTTGTAGATAGATTATCTAGGATGAGCAAATAATCATCTGACCCATTCATGATTTCCTTATCTAAAATAACAGGGTAAGCATCTATATCATAAAAGGCTTTGTATAGGGCACTGATGGCTTCAAGATTAGGAATCATCCAACTAGGCTTCTTGATTTAAGATCCTAATATATGGTGAAAGCATATACTTGATCCATCTGATAGAAGAGCAACTGAATTGCCTGTAATGGTAAGATCATATAATAGATCTGGATTCTTTTGAATGACTTGACAAATGTATCCTACTCCAGGTGAATATACAAGAGAGAGTGTGTAATTATCAGTAATTCTGATTTTTGGCTTTATTGAGATAAGGCCATTAGTTCTTAAGAATAATTGCTTCAAACCAGGTTACATTGTATGTAAAGAATTTCTTATTTCTAATAATATATTAATTAAAATGGAATTATTGTAAGTAACACAATAATGTGTTTCAAGAGTGGTTGGCTTATTCAAGGGTCAAACTGATGATAAATCTCTGGAAGCTCATAAGAATTTGTATGATCTCCATAAACACTATGAGGAAGCATTTTATTTGATTGAGAACAAGATACCCATTACCAAAATTCCAGTCTAAGCTAATAAAGCTATATATATTATTACAGAATCGAACTAAAAAGTTAGTAAAGTGTATAAGGCAAATAATTATATATGTAATTGTGATAAATTCAACGCTCGTGAATTCTAATTCTGTCCTCATATTTTAGCTGCCATGATTGCAGATGAATTAGAGATATGTACATCTCAAGTTAGAATTACAGGTGAAGAATATCTTGGACATATAAAATCATTTTGAATTCCATTGAATATACTTCTATAAACATCTTTATATTAAACTATTCTTTTTTCATTCTAGTACTAATTATTTTTAAACTCTTTGTATTACGTGTATATTAAATAATTTAATGAAATTGTTCCTACTTTTAGTACTAATTCTTTTAGTTTCTTAAGGAAGAAAAATCATTAAAAAACATGTTAAGGGTGAAAGATATTCTAGATAATCTGAATTTGATTCAAATTAATAAAATAATGATGATTTCATTGATAAATTTAGTGAATCAGAAATCTAAATTTCAGAGCATTTATCAATAGGAGAAGATATAATTAACATAATAAATTAACAATCAATTGAATATGAAAATTAAGTTCAAAATCCAAATACAGATTAACAATAATAAGAAAAATAATAATAATAATAAGATGATATAACATAATCATAAGAAATTATATATGAACAATCAGATCAAGTAGATCTTGAATCAGTTGAATTTGACTAATTACTATAATCGTTAGCAAGTGATGGTCATGACTTCGATATTGAAATACCTATCATTAAAAAAGATGTTATATAAAATAATATAAATTAAGAATAAATTGATACAAAACCTGAAGAATTAATTTAAGATCAATAGAATGATTAATAAAATAGCGATTAAATTGAATAGACTAATTATGAAATTGATTAAAATACTATTCATTCTATTGATATTGAAGAACCAACCTAATAATAAGATGAATTAAAATAATCTGAATAGATATAAATATTGTAAGAATAATAAGAATAATTGTAATAATAAGAATAATAAGAATAATAATAATAAGAATAATAGGAATAGGAATAAAATTAATAGTAATAATAAGAATAAGAATAATAATAAGAATAATAATAATAATAAGAATAATAAGATATTGAAATTCCTATTTAAATAGATTAGATCAATTTAAATGATTAGTCATAATCTATAGATATCAATAATTAAGATGATTCAGTATCGAAGGAGCAAGATTAATAGAATTAAACTTAAGAAAATGAGGTGCTTGTAATATAATAGACTGAATCTGTATTAGATAATTAAATTGATGATATATCTATAATCTAATAAAACGACAATTATTTAGAATAATAGAAAATAGAGGATCTTGAGCAAGTTGTTAATTAATCTTTAGATATTGATAAGGATAAATCAAATAATGATTAAATTATCAATCATTAAGATGCCGAATAAGAAATTGAATAAATTTATATTGAAAATACTTAAGAATATTCATAATAAGCTGATGATCAATCAACAATATTAAATAATGAACAAATTTAAGATAACAATCCTGAAAATCTAGAATAAATAATAAATAAAGATCATGAAGATAATTTGCAATAACAAAATGAAACATTAGAAGATAATATATATAATACTGAAACTATATAAGAAAATAATGTATAATAATTAGAAAATTAAGAAAGTGATCCAATAATTGAAAATAATGATAACATTCAAAACTAAGATAATAATTAATAATTATAATAAGATTAAACATAAATAAATGAAGAAATAATAACTAGTTTAGATGACTAATAAATTTAATAATAAGAACAAATATTAAATCAAAATTAAGATTAAGAAATTAATGAAAATGTTTAATAAACTCCAGAATAAACACTTAGAGATGAAAATTAAGATTAAATTCCAGAAATTTAAGTATAAGATTAATTAAATGAAAATTAAATTAATAATAATGTTTAAAATGAAGATTAAATATAAACAGAATAAATATAAGATTAAGAGAATATTTTGATTGATCCTCATGCAAAAGAATATGATATACATAATGGGCATTTAAATCATGATCATAATCATGACCATGATCATAATCACTATAATCATGATCACTATAATCATAATCATGATGAACATATTCATGATGATACATTCAATAATTAAAATAATAATCAACCTAATGATCCAAATAGTTCAAAATCATAATAACCCTCTTGTTCATTCGATGATAAATTATCATGTTCAGGAAATAGTAATACATAATTTAGTACTGGAATAGAGACAGAAAGTTATCCATAAAATTAAGAATAATTATTATAATACCTTCTAACTCATTCCTATTTATAATATTATACTAATTATCCTATGTATTTTATTGGAATTTTGGCTAATGTTTTTCTATTTTCTTTAGTGATTTTAAAAAATGTTTTAACTAAAAAATAAACTCCATATTCAGTAATATTTATCCATTTATCTTTTAGACATAAATTATTGATGAATAATATAATGAAGTCAATGTAGATAATTCATAAATTTAATTTTAAATTAATTAATTAGATAATACATTATAAGATATAAATACAAAATTAGATACTCTATCAAAATCTTACCTTAAAATGTAAAAGGATCATTAATTGATTAATTAAAGTATTTAATTCTTAATATTAATAGTTATAAATGACCTTTAAACAAAAGTATTAGCTAATTTGGAAAAAAGAAAACTAAAAGAATCTTGTAAATCTCTTAATGAAAGTAATGAAGATGATGCAGGTGTCAGATAAAAAAGAACATAAACTCAGGTAAAACCTCGATAACGACCAACAACACCAATTTAAAGATAATATTGATTATGTATATTTAATTTTAAGAATAAATCCTTTACTAATTAAATATTATATGATTTTTTGGTTGATGTCTCAATTTTGATTCAATAATATATATATATTTTTAAATAAATAAATAAATAAATAAAATGGAAATTGAGGAAAAGTATAACTTATTAATAATTGGGGGAGGACCTGCTTCTGTTAAATTTTTATATAATTTATTCAGAACATCAAGGTAGTATTCAAAATATTATTTAAGATTACCTGAATATATGAATGGATTAGGAATTGGGATAGTGGAAAAGGGGAAATGTTTTGGTTCTGGTAATTTAGAAAATAAAATGAATTACACAACATATCCAGCAACTGAATTATTGAAATTGATGTTCTTTCATAAAACTAACTAAATGATATCAATTTGTAAAGATCTTACAGATACTCAGGCATATAAGACTCTTGTTTAATATGGAGAGAAATGTCCTCCAAAATCATTAGCAGGATTCTTCTTAAGATTATTAGGAAGTGTGTTATTGAAACATATATACACTTTAAAAAAATTGCAAATATTTCATTCCTAAAGAGAAGCAATAGCAATCCGACTTTTGGCTGATGGATGGTTTTAGATTAGAACACAGAGTTTATCGTAAAAGTTTTGACATAATTTGTAGAGCTGATACTTAAATAAAAGATAAATACCGAACGATAAAAGCAAGAGTACATAAATTAAATGATTTTTTAAGCATATATTACTTTGTACAGGTAGAGAATAAACACCAGCAGACATATTTTGTTAGGAATAAGGATTAATTGAAACTCTAAAACAATATCCAAGATACATAGTTGGAAGTGGATAAAAAGCATTTGAATGTGCTGAATTATTACTCAGTGGTCCTGTTATGTATATTAATAATGAACAAATAAATGCTTACACTTAAAAAGTATACACTTGTCCATTATGTAAATCATTGAAATGTTCATGTTTTGGATCACTTATACCATAAAAATATCTCTGGCATCACACAGTAAGACATCATAATATAAGGATGTTGCATTGCCTGAATACAAAAAAGGAGAATTAAAAATTCATTTTTCCAAACCTCCACGACCATATTTTAATAATCATTAAAATGACTATATAACTATTCCATAGTCATAGATTAATAAAATGGGAGAAGCCAATTATCTTACTGGATTAAGGGGTAAATCAAAAATCTTATTCTTAAAAATGCTTGCAACTTAGGAAACTAGAGTCTCACTTTCTTAGAATGAACCAAATTCAAATCAATTCATTGATGGAAAAGAATGCAAATGTAATCAAATAGAGATTAAGGATACAGATGGAAATTTAGTTGAATTTTAATATAGTTTTGGATTATATTAATTAGATGACAAAGGTAGATTGAAAACATAGAAGGGAAGTCTTAGAAATTTATATTGTTATGGTTCAAATTGTATTACTTAAGAGTAATTGGAAAGAGGATGTTAAGATGAATATGGAGATTGTAGTATAGGATTTGATGAATATGATTTATTCTTTTTAAACATCAAGAATGAAATCATTACACAATGGTTTGACAATAATGAATTTCCATTGACTGCTCAATCTCAAGTGTCTAAGGGTGGTGATTTTGATTCAGATCCAAGTGTTCATTCTGAAGTTGTGGAAACAGAAACATTTGCATTAAATTAATTATAAGAGTAATTTAAATAGAAGAAAAAAAAGAAATGACTCAAAATTATAGATTTTTTATGATATAAATTTATAAATAGAAACTATACAAAAGAATATTAAAAAACCTATAATCAATCTTTCACTTCTTCTTCCTCTTCTTCCTCCTCTATCTTAAAACAATCCTATTCAATTTTATTATCCCTATATAAGTTGATCATTGTTTTTTTATCAATTAATTCATCAAACATAAGTTCAAATCTATTATTTTCTAAGACATTATCAGGAATAAATAGTTTTTTATTCAGAGGCCATTCCTCAAAGAAAGGAGGAGGAAAAATTGGATCTATGGCAATTCTAATTTATAAGGTATAAATTACCTAAACAAATTTTCAACAAGGGTTGGGATTATTTTACTCAAAAGTGGACATGATAATTCTAGACATGGATTTGTATTTGCTTCAATTAACCAAAGTTTAAAATTATCATCTATCATAAAATCTAATCCAAAAAGCTATTAATAATATTATTATTAACATTTACTTCAAAACTATTTGATCTTCTTTAATGATCAATCTTTCCATATGATGCTTTCATTAAATCTAAAGCAATCTATTTCATTTTTGGATAGATATCAACAAAGAAATTTAATTTCTATTCTTTATGAAATGTATCCAAATATCTTTAGTATTCTAGAAATGAAATCTTGTTTCCAAATTCATACTTACCATAATCTTCATCTTTTGATTAAACTGCATCATTTGTTAAGTGAATATATTTGTTAAGACACTTGGTAGTAAATTCCTTTGAAGATGTTCTTATATATCCTTCTTAATACCAATATCCTTTTAATATTCCATTCTAAGATGTAAGAAGCATATAACATCTAATATCAAACTTTCTCTTATTATATAAAAATGGATTATCTATGTATTATTAAATTATATAAGTTCTCTATCTCCCATCAGGCTATTCTTCCATTATTATCTTATTTATATCCATTAAGTCTTAACAAACTGTAATTCCATTTCCTCTATTTGTACATTCTCCAGGTTTTACTATCCATAAATTTATTGGTTTCACTTTCTTCTCTTTCCTATAATCCATATAAATTTTCTTCTCTTATTCTCTTATTTCTTCTTGTCTTTTGTTATAATAATCAACAAATCTAAGATATTCTGGATCAATTGTCCCTTATTGAATATGAAAAGTAATTGGAATGTATTTTGTATAATCTTCCTTAATTATTTTAAAATAGTTCCTCATATTATAAAATAGAGCTTTCTTATTTCCCAAATGCCAATTGTCTTACATATGATTATGCATTCTATAATTTCTACTCTCTATTCTAGTTGAGGTGTGAAACTAATAATTATAGGTGAATATTGTACTCCTTTGATGTTTAAGAGCAATTTTTCAGAACAATCGCTGAACACTAACTAAGAGTCCCATAAATTATTATCTTTCATATAAGCTAATAGTTTTTAAAGTTCAATTTAATTGAATATTCTCTTTAATTAATTTAAATTACTAATTTATTAAAATGGTTATTTGGCTTATAAATTAGTGTTAAAGAGTGGAACAGATCTGTGTTTGATGCTGATTTCCAATTCAGAATCACTAGAATCAGCCACTGTATCTTCAATACTTTAAATAAATGAATCATTATTGTAATTTGAATCATTACTTATAACATTAAATGCTGTTAAATTTTCAATGCAAATGTTTTATTTCAATTAAGTCCAAATCATATTGGTTTTGTTAAGATCCATAGTTTCAATTTCTTGCCACCACCATCTCTAACGAAATAAGTTTTTAATCAAACTAGCATTATTTCCTTTTCCAACATAAAAGTAATATGCAGGAATTTCCATTTTGTTAGGTGATTGAATGCATTAATTATTTGAAAAATTTATTTTATTTAAAAAGCATCTATAAGATGTATGCCTTAATTGTAATTTATCTTTTAATAAATTTTATTATTGATTTGAAGAAATTAAGGTAGTTTACTTTTGGTTATTATTAGGTTAAGTATTTTATTTGCTAGATATAATCTATAATTATTATTATTATTATTATTATTATTATTATTATTATTATTATTATTATTATTATTATTATTATTATTATTATTATTATTATTATTATTATTATTATTATTATTAAATAGTTTAAGCCTATCTTGTTTTTCTTTTAACTTGAAGTTTCTTCTCTTAAGGATCTATCATCTTAATCGAAGATTTTTAAATAGTAAGTACTTTGTTTTGATTTTATGTATATCTTCTTTCTTTTCCTGAATTCTATTTAGAATTTTAGATTGTCAATTTTTATGGTTTTTAATTTTTTGACTTTGATCGCTAAGTTGAAGAACCAGATCTGCTAGTCAAATTTTCCTTTTACAGAGTCTTATATATAAATGGTGTAGAAGATGTTCTACATATTTTATCCTTTTCTGTTGATTATCCTGGTGTTTTCTTATTGCTTTTTCTCTGAATTCTTGGACTTACTAATTTACTACTTTTGGATGAATATAATTCATTCGACTCCTTCTCTCTAGATTGTATTCGAATTGATGGTTTCTTAGGTATTAACTAAAGAGGAGGTAAAGCCTTTTTGGTTTCTATAAGGTATATAAATTAAAATTACGTTTGTCAATTTCTGAAAAAGATGGATTCGGTTTAAGATTATAATAGGGATGTTCTTGCTTCATATCTGGAGGGAATTCTTTGTTATTAGAGAATGTTTCATTTATGAGTAGATTTTTCATTTTCTTTTTGTTAATTGGAGCTAGTCCTTTAGAGACTAAGCACAACAACATGTCATCAGGATATTTGGGAAGAAGTTTATTTCTATGTGTTAGTTATTAATGATCATTTCTATGGGTATTAGGTACAATCCATTTAGGATGTTGCATTGAATGATAATCTTTGCTGTTATTCAAAGATTCTGACAATTTTGTATTGTATCGGAGTTAGAAGATCATCATATTATTAATTTAATTAATTAAACTCAGACTTTGAAATAAACTAGAAATTTTATTTATTGTGATCTGTAATATTAATTTTAAGATCATAAATTTGATTCATGTCACTTATTATCTATTTCAGATAGAACCTTCTTTTTGTTTATCTTTTCCCTCATAAAACTTAATGTATTAACTCACCATCTCATTTACCTAAGGTTAAGTGACTATTTCACCATCTCTTTTGATCAATTTTTTAAATAAACAGAAACCAAGTATAGAGAATAATACAACAAATGTGGTTATAATCAATACATATAGAATTATTGATTATTCTAGAACTGGAGGTTAATAGCCTTCAATTTCTGAACTACATTCAGGAGGTGGTGTTAAAAAACCTATATTGAGATTTTAAAATTACTATTGCAAATCTCTCCAAAAATACCTTTTCCTGAGAATTAACCTTTGTAAGTCAAAGCATTCACTAGAACTGATGGAAATACATTCATTCCAGCAACTTAATAAATATGTAATTAGTTTTCTAGTAAAATATTGATTGCATTAGTATAATTTTTAGTTGGTAATGAAGTATTTTAGTCAACAAAAGATTCATCAAAACAATTTTGAATTTCCTTTTTAGGAATCCCTTGTATATCCATAATCTATTGACTACAAATAGAATATGCTTATGGTTTAGAACATTTGAAATTGAATTAATCCTAAATCTAAATTGTATTATTTACCATATATGAAAACCATTTTTTTGGGTATTTTTAAAATATGCATGTTTATCTTAGAATCTCTTAAACAACATCCCTTCCAGTTGCAATACCTGAACCATCAGGATCAAATACACAATATCTATTTTAGCAAATACAATCAGAATCTCTTTAATTAATTTCTAGAATTGTAGAATTAAAACTCATCATAAAATATACAAGAGTGTAATTGATATTTTAATCTTCCAATTTATTATAATATGGTGCATATTCATCAATAATTCTAAAAGATTCTCCATCTTGAACATTCAATCCAAAAATTACTGATATTTTATCAGTTTAAACAACATCAAATTTTAATAGCATCATAATCTTCTCATCATTAGAATCCTCAATTTAATAGTCTTTTGCTTTTTCTGATAATATAGTAAAATGTTTTTTTTTGATAAATATGGATGGGATTGTTACCTAACATAAAACTTTGAAAATAAACTTAATATCCATAACCATCATCAGCCATAGTAATATCAGATTCTATGGGTTCATCATTGTAATTCCCAATAATTGCCATTTAATATCCAGCTTTTTCAGCATTCTTGACTTTAGTCACATGTGAACAGTTCCCTCTTTCAATTAAAATAAAATGAGCTCCATAAGTAGGTTAAATATCACTACATCCATTTCTTGGATAAGCCAAATCTACTAATCCCATTAAACGATGTCCAAATGGTATAATTCTAGTTTTCATATATATAAAAGATAGAGTACCCAAAATTGGCAATACTATAATCAATGTATTCATTAATTAAGTTAGATGGTCTGAGAACTTTAAGTTTGGACTAAATAACTGTGATAATACAAATGAGTAGGAGAATATTATACATAATTAAAAATAATTGTGTCATAGTTTATTAGTTTTAGATTAGATAAATACAATAGACATAAAATGTAGAAATTGTTGATATTTTAAAGATCTACATTATTATTCTCCAATTGAACCAATTCCATTATTTCTAAAATTAAAGAAAATTCATGTATTATATTGATTTTTTTGTTAGTAGAAGTGACTTTTACAAAAAACCATTTCCTAATATTGGGTTAAAATCAATAGAAGAGTTCTTCTCAGAAAGAAATGAAATGTAAAATAATAATAAAATTAGATTACCTTAAGAAGACAATATAAACTAATAAAACATGACTCATGAATAGACTATTTTAAATAAAAAAAAAATTGAAGATTAGTAATAAATCGAAATGGTAAATTAAGATTTATTAGAAGAGTTAAATGATTCATTTCCAGATTCTAATATAGATTCTTAAAACCTAAATAAAAAATCAATATTTCTTAAAGGTGCTAAAATAGTGAAATAATTGGTTGGTAAGATATTACATTTCAGAAATACTAACAGAATATATAGTAAAAAAAGGAAAGATATTAAATGCACATGTAAAAAAAATTAATGTTGCAATCTTTATTGTGGATGTTATTAGATATAAAAACATTGCACTAAATCATGTAAATGCAACAAAATTGAATGTCATAATATGCCTAATACAAGTTCCTAATTTTAATAATTACGATGATATTTTAATTAATAAATTTTTATCTCTATTCCAAAAATGTTGAAATTCGTTTATTTTATTATAATCAAGTTGTACTAGTTCTTCTTTTGGCTTTAGACTTTTATTTAACTGCATAGAACTCTAATTTCTAACATAATGGATTATCTACTGGCAATAAAGCCTTGCAAATTTAATATGCCTTTTTTATTTATATATATAAGTATATACCTTTTAAAAGTATTCTTCACCTGAATAATCCATCTTTATTTTCTCCTTTTATAGAGTCTCAATACCATCTTTGATTATTAGTTCAATAGTATGAGTAGGTACCTTTGCTTTCTAATCAATTGTTAATTAAAAGGCTAATTTATCTCCTTCAACTTATAGGAATTAAATTAATTTCTTTTAATCTTTTCTTTGCAAATCTGGTAATCTCTTACCAGATAAAGTATCCAATTCTAATTATTTCAATAAATTCTATTCTAAAAATCTAACAAATCCATGTGTCTTATAATTATCAAAATGTTGTAAATATGTTTTATCTTCTTTAAGAATTAAAGTGAGTATCTCAAATTTTTTGGATGGTGCTATTTTTAATTAAATAGAATACTTAATAATGATAATCCCATCAAAACATCTACATAATTCTTTATCATATTCATAATATTCTATCTTAAATATCCTTATCTAAAAGTTAATTTACAATAATCTGGATTGTAAATGGATGTTTAACAAAATTCATAAGCACTTTTAGCTTCTTCTAAGTACTTCATTGTTGAAACTATTTTACTTTAAATCTAAGTGATAATTTTTAATTTAATACAAAATAGATATCTGAATAAGTAGAATATAGATAAGCTAATTAAGGACTATATTCATATGAATATTCTTGACAAAAATTCCTGTAAATTGCAAAAGATTAATTTGCTGCAATTAATGACCATCTGCATACTAGATCAATTGATAATCCTTCATTGATTCCTTCAAGAACTGTTATCTTTGATTAAATGAATGATTTAGTTTCTAAATACTTTTATTCCATAGCTGGAGAACATTTATTTTTGACTTTGCTTTCTAAAATCTTAATAGTTTTTTGATTTAATTCTGCTTTAAATGCATTAATTTTAGTTTCAGTATCAGTCTAAATAATAATATTAAATATAATTACAATTAATTATTCTTCTAAATCTTTGACTCTCAATGTAGTTAAAAATTCAGAATACATTCCAGCAATCAATCTTTAAATGTGAGCATTAAATATATGATTTGATCCATATTATTATTATACATATTTTTATATAGCAAACATAGGATCAACTACTTAAGTTAATTTATCAGCAACATTGAGTGAAGATTCTAAATAACATAAAAAGGCTTCTGTTTTTAATCTATTAATTTCAAAGTATGGTCTAAGTGCACTTTTCATTAATGTTTAATCATAAGAAAATACAAGTTATTTAGTAGATTCTTATTCAGGTCTTTTGATTTCAAAATATTTTTCAAATTCTAAATTACAAAAGATCTAATAATAAAAATAAATATAATAAATATTACTCTTTCATTTTTATTTGTTTTAATTTAAACATTTAATAATTACTATTTATCTTCAATAGTTTGTATCATTAATTAAGATTTTTAAATACCTTTCATATAATCTGCTATAATCAAATCCAAATTCATTTGAATATTTGAATTTAAAGTTATAATTTCTTCAACTTAGGATTGTTAACCAAATTTATCCACACTAAAATTAATAATAATTATTATTACAAAGATAAATTTGCTTATGCTAATTTAAAATCTCCTTTCATCATAATTGCTAATGTATGTAAACTTTCAAGATATTAAAACACAGTTCTTAAAAATATTATTTATTTTAATGTTTTAAATTATCTAACATTTAAAAAGAGTTCTTTAATTGGTTCTAGAAGTGCTAATACATTATGTTCATATTTTTCATATATTTAAGAAGTTTAATTTAAAATTTTGAACATTTCTTCTATTTTTAAATCTTTTTTAGTTGTTTTTTAAAATGTTTTTTCACTTTACCATCTAATAGCTACTTTACATAATTATGAGTATATTAATTAAAACAATTTTTAAGATACATTAGAAGCTGTAGTATCTGCATCTGAATATTATCCAGTATGCATCTAATATATTACTAACTTAACACCTAATTAACATAAAACAACTTAATTCTCTAAAGAAGCTGAATCAATTTATGCCAATGCTGCTTTAATTTATGTCATTTCATTTTATTCAAGAGATTAAGAAAGTAATAATTTACTTACTTCTAAATAATTATTTGTTCTCTTAGTAAAACTTTAAGCCTTCTATACTTATTCAAAGAGATCTTCCATTTATCTTTCATCAGTTTTATCTTCTTTTAAAATATTCAAACGAATTTCATCTGAATAAGCAAAGATTTTGACATTAAAAATTTATAAAGTTTAATAGAAAGATGAATGTGTTGAATTGAATAGAAATGATTTATTTTCAAATAACATTAAAGTAAATTTCAATAATTCTGATGCAAATTCTAATTATTGATTCTTAAGATTTAGATCTAAGATTTTTAAAATAACAAATTTGATATCATAATAACTTTCATATTTTTCCTTCTTTATCCAAGGCATTTATTTAAATTCACACAATTAACTAAAAGAATTTCCTCCCAATTAATATTAAACTATAGTAATAATATCAATAGTAGATAAGAGAATCATTTAAATCAATGGTTTAGTGTCTGTTTACAATACAAACTCTTCTGCTATTTAATCCATTGAAGTATTAATTGTTTATAAAATAACAGGTAATTATTGATGATTTTAAGATAATAAACAAAGTCTTGCTCTTGCTAAATTATGTTCCACAACCATGAATCCATTTTTATTACATAATGATTCTTCTGAAGCATGTTTAGCTTCTATAGATTTAAGAAAGGTATCAAGTTGTTCATCTTCAAAAGATTCTAAATTCTATTTACTATTAATAAAGAAATATCCTTATATTAATTCAGTGATTAAATTATTCATTAGATTGTTCTTTAACCAAGAATTATTATTCTTTTTTGAATTATATTCTTCAAAGAAAAATGGTAATAATGGTTAATAATAAGTATGTAATTATTTAATAAGTGATTATTCCATAATTGCTGGAGTGATAGCCTAAATATTATTAGATTCTTTTTTAGTAATATATGGATATTAATGATTTTATGTATGTATTAGTATATGTAGAATTTTAATACTTAGAATACAATTCAATAATTCAGTAGTTTAATCCTTCAATATTTACATAAATCCTTGGAATATCCCTTCACTTATAGTAATAGGATTATAATAGAGTAAATGAGAACAATGATAAATTAAGAGAGCCAATAATTATTTATTATAATTTTAAAAGATTTAAGATTTAAGACCAAAACTCTCAGAAATAAAGAAAACTTCTTCCATAATTTCAGTTACTGTTTTGAATATATTTAAATTAGATTTTTCATCATTAATTTCTGCAAAATATTCTCCAGTCCAACCTAATTAAGGAATTTGATTCAATTAATTTAATAAACAATTTTAAAGTGTAAAATTCTTAGTATAAGGTTTTAATCTCTTTAAAATACCATGATTATCTTTACTTCTATTTAATTACATGATTTATAAAAATTTACCTTATCTGTAGAGCCATTATAATGTATGATCTAAACTTCTTTAAAAATCTTCTTTAATTTTGATTTAAGTATTTTATAATTATTATCTTACTAATGAAGATTTTCTTTTATCAATTTCTCCTAAATTTTCTTCATCTACTTTAATGTAACTATGTAAAATATTAATTTCATTTAATAAATCATGAATCTACTAAAAATCAGCATCTCTCCAACTATCAAAACTTATTTACACTTTCATATAATACATTTTTAATCTACTTACCATTTTTATTAAAATATCTTCCTTAATAATAAATTAACCCTATTAATTTTTTTTAGAATGTTTCACATCATGCACTATTTCTCCTGAAGTATCTATAATATACTCTTCAGAAATGTCATGAGCCAATTAATATTATTATTAAAGATGATAAATGTAAATTAAAGCTTATTGAAAGAAATGTCCATACTATTTTAATTTATATGGTAATTATTTAACATCTTTTAGTTTATTTTTATCATCTTTACAATTCTTTATTAATTGATCTTTAGAAACTTGTAATTCATATAATTATTCTCTATTTGCAATTGACAAATGAACATTTTAAATCTTTTAACGTTCTTCTTCTGTTTTTGTAATATCATGTAATAAATGAACACATGTAATCTCTACTCCTTTAATAATTTCTTAAGATTTTAGAGATAATTATTATGCATAACGATAATCTTATTTCAAAATATTCATTTACACTTTACTTAATAGATAAAGTACCATATATTTAAATTCATGTATATTACTACTTAATATTTCATATACTTAATTATTACAATAATTATCAATACAAGATATAATATCTCCTGTTTCTTTAGCATATGGCAATTAATAAAAAAATTATTATAACATATTCTTCTCAAATGCTTCAATTTCTTCCTCTAATTAATCCAATTAATGTAATTTTAAATGTTATTCAAATTTATATATATTTTATTTTAAATATTCTTATATTGATATCTTATCCTTTACATTTACATTCAATTGAGTATTTTTACCATCAAATATACGAACCATTTAATCTTTTGTTATTTTTGGATTTGTATTCTATCTAATTTAATGAAATAATGCTTCATCAAAATTAATTCTAACATCTGTCTCTTTATATGATTATTAATTTTTATGTTTCTAATAAATCTAACTAGGAAATTATCTTTGCATTTAATCTGGATTTATCAATTACAATACTAAATTCATCGTATTTGGATACTTCATTGTTAATTATTATTTACTATTCACAATCCATCTCTTTACTGCTCTCTCTACATCTCCTTCTTAATCCTTCAACAATTATTCTATCTAAATTCCCATCTTTCCAAGTGTTGCCATCTATAAACCAACCATACCTAAAGAATAAGCATCACATTTCTATGGAGATATAGCTATCTAAAATTTTGGATTCAAATAATTTGTTATTAATTCTGGACTCATATACCATAATTCATCATTTTATTCTATGGCTCTTGTAAAATACACTTTCTCATCATTATAATCATACCAATAAAACATTCCAAAATCTATCATACTATATGTATACCAAATATCATTTGGCTATTAATTCTTCAATAATATAATCGTTGATAAATTAATACTCCCATGATACATACCCTATTCACATTCAACAAATGATAATGTATCCAAAACACTTACTAAAAATTCACAAATTTCTTAATCACTATAATAATTTGTTCTACTAAGTAAAACTTCCTTAAAAGTCTTACCATTACAAATACTGAATCCTTTAGGTGCACCATAAGCTCTACTCAAATACCCTTTAATAACTGGATCCCTTATATTAACAATTGGATCTTCAAGAGTTATTTTTAAGTATTTAAGAGGTGAAATAGGGACCTTCAATTACAATTCCATATATCTTATATCAGTAATTTTCTCATAGAATCTAGCAACTCTATTTATAATATCTTTATGTAGAGTCCTATGATATAGAATCTCAGTCTAAAAAAACACCATCACATCAGATAATTTTGGTTTCTAAACTTAAGATACTAACCATCTATACAATTGTTGTTTAGCAGCAAAGACATTATATTCCAAAGTGGCTGTATGTAAAGATTTCTTAGTATCTAAAGGAACAATGAAATATAACATTGGTTACTCCTTAGCAATCTATTAATCAATAAATAAATTCCAAATCTAATTTCTTAAAATAGAGACTTAAGGTGCTTAGATCCTGAAAGGAATATAAGTAAAATGTATTAAATTAAATTACTTTCTCAAATCTAATCCAATATAAGCATCTAATTCCTATTCCACTTAACTTACTCCTTTTGATGTCAAAGGGAATTGTAAATTAGTTTTGGGAAACAATTATATTGAATCTACAAATTTTAGATAGTCTTCATCACTATATTTTTAAATTTGAGTTTGAGTCATACTATTAATATAAGAATAGAATCTTTCATCAATAGGTTTAGTATCTATTTCTCTACCTTATTATTTAAATACAGATTTATAATTAGTAAGTAATTTAACATAATTTTTAGCAATAGCTATAGCTGGTTATTTTCTTGTACTTTTACGATATTGACTAAACCAAACTCCTTAGACTTTAAATACTATAGTCTTACGACCATCAATCCATAAATGTTTTTCTACATATTCTTCTATCTTTTTCAATATTTCCATTTTTTCAATAAAATTAGAATGGATATCAAGATTTTAATTTAGTATTGTCAATTATCTTCTATATTTTTCATGTTAACTTTCTTTTAAATCATGTCTTAATTTATTTTGATTCTCCTAAAATATTAGGGTTCTTCTCCAATCAAGATTTCTTATTAAAACTAAATGTCTTCTTAAGAAACATTTTCTAAAAGTGAAACGATCATCAGTCCATAATTTTTAATGTGGATTAAGTTCATTTAACATTTTCAAAAATTTGAGAGTTTTAAAAAAGAAAGCCTTTTGTTTTTGTTATATTTCTGGATCATTAGAATCTTTTAATTTAAATTTCATAGCCCAATTAGAAGGTCTGGTAGCCAAATATTTCTTTAATGAATCTATAGATTCCTTTTTCTTTTTTGATTTAGCATCTTCCTCCTCCATAGTAGTAGATACACTTAATTTAGATTTAGTTTTTTTTTTAGATGTTTCTGATTTTAAAGCAGATCTTGGTGATGATTTCATACTTTTAGGAGAATTAGTATTTTATGATTATTATTATTATTTCTCTTTTTTCTTTTACTTATTCACAATATAATCTTCTACATCAGAATCTGAACTTATTTCTTCATATTAATTGGTTTTCTATTCCTATAATAAACAACCATATATCTTTTGAGTTGGATATCTTTTGATATCTTCATCTCCTTAATTTTCTGAAGATTACTTTTCACCTGAACCCATAAATTTCTCAATAGTACTCTTGATCAAATATTAGTGTCTTTACATTAAATTCTATATTTCATAAGGAATCTCTCCAAAAATTGAACCTTCAATATATCTAAGAAAGAAATTAGATAACAATATAATTATAAAGAAAGCAAGCAAACTAATAGTTGGATTATAATCAACTATTCTGTCTCTAGAATAAGAAATTAATCCACTATTAGATACTAAAGATAGATATGCTAATCCTTCAAGTACATCATTCCATACTCCAATAGTAGATTCACCTAAAGGTAATGGTCTTTACATATCATTTAATAATTTTAACTTATCTGTCTACAATTCAACTACATTCCAAATAAATGCAATAAAAAAACATAATGGAAATGTTGTACCAAATAATACCAACATTGAATATTAGAGTGTGATTTCCATATATTCATCTACAGTACCATATCTTTCAGGACTGATAACATAAGACTCTTTGTATAAGAATTCATTTTCAATAAAATTATTTATTTTTTCAAATGGATTTGTATCTCTTGTAAGAGTTTCTTTCTTTTATGTGTCTTATTATTCAGAAACATTTTGATCATTAGCTTTTTTTGATGATGCTCTATCAGGAGATAGACTTTGTGATTTTTATGAATTTAAATCTTCATTTCTACCATCTTCATCATCATCTCTTATCTCATCAATACGAGAAGCAAGTTTTTTAGTTTTTTATTCTTCTGCCTTTTCATCTTTTTTCTCACTTAACTATCTTATCAACACTTATATTTTTGGTTTCATAATTTCCCAAATATTCAATGTAAATTGAAGTAAAAAAATAGAAGAGAAATGATATTATGCATGTTTCAAACAATCATTATTTATACAAGTCAAACCTACTTTCTAAAATATACTAATATATTACTTCATGTCCAAACATTATTTCAACAACAGGTCCACAAATTGCAAAAAATGATAAGAAATATTTTTTAAAAACAAAATTTGTCTCATATTCTGTTATTGTTTTATGATTCTCATAATCAGTTAATGAACCTGCTGTTTTATCAAAAAAAGGATCCAATATTAATATTACTACTAAATTAATTAAAGCAGGTATTGTTACTGATAATTATGCAACCTCATTTCCAATTAATGATTTAATTCTTTCTGAATTTTGTAATTCTTCAGAAATAAAAAATATTCCAATTACAATTCCAACATATATTCCCAATATACTTATTTATATTATTAAAGTTAATAAAATTCTCATAAATTTTTTGAGATCTGAATAATTCAATGTATTTAAATTATCATTTTCAATAGATCTTTCATAATTACCCATAAAATCAGATCTCTATTAAGCTTATTCTCCTGATCCACCTTCTCCTTAACCATATTATGCTGCAAACACTTTCTCTCTCTGTTACCATAAATCATACATTAAATTAGCCCATTAAATTTAAATCATACCAAAAATTATTTAAGGCATAATGTAATTGTAATCATTTTGATTCCAAACTAACAATTATATGATACTAATTATTAAACCTATAAATCCAATAGGTAATAACATCATAGTATAATAACCCAAAAAAGTAAAATACAAAGCAATTTTCTCTCCATAATACTCTCGTATTTATTATGTTGGAATGAACCAGGGTTATTTATATTCAAATCTCCATATGAAAGCCAAGTTCTCTAATTTAGGTGTCACATAACTATAATCATTTAAGATATATTTATTAGGTCCTCTCTTGTCTTAAGCTTCATGATGTTTGAGTTCTCTATAGAAATAAGAATATTGAGCATCTTTTAATAATATTTCATGATCATATTCTTCTTCAAATAGTGGATCAAACAATGCTTTATTTGTTTTACCAAATAATTCAAAATCATCACTTAAACAGAATGCTGAAATTGCTAAATGTCTAGAAAATAGAATTGAGAAATTGATTTTTTCACCTAAAGCCAAATTATTTAATTTCATTCTTTCCATTGTTGAAAATAGAGAGATCCTCCCTGTCTCAGTTACTCTATATTTCTTCCATATAGAATTCATTTTAATCTATGAACTAAATGCTACATTTTTTGGAGTAATATTGTAAGGAATAAATGGTTCAAAAGGTTAGATTCCAATAATATCCCAAATAGTAAATAATTATCTGTTTAAATAGTTTGTGACTTCCAAACCTTCTTATAATAATTCAAGATAATTCATGGCTAACATTTCTCTTTTTGATGCTTTGATCTATCGACTTGTAATTTTCTTATAACTAGGTAAGTGGAAGTAACTTTTTATAAGACTGTATTTATTTTAGATTTCTCTTTATTCTAAAACTATACTAAATATTCCCTTTAGAACTCTATAGATCTCGTTTGGTCTACCATGTAATTCTATTTCTTATTCTATCTAATCTTCTGAAACAAATTCTTCTAATTTTTTTATTTCTGACATTTTGAGATTCTCCAACATCTAATCATTTGGAAATCTTTATTTATATAAATGATAGGGTGTTTTATTAATAGTCAATGCTTATTCATTACTAATCCTGAATGCTTCTCTCAATTATCTCATTGGTTATTTGAGATACATAAGATATGAATAATAAGCAGACCACATTGCATCAGTAGGTCCCTCAAATTCTATAATATCTTCAGATCCTTCCTTAGAGAATAATTATTAATTTAATTATGAGAGATTCAATTCTCTTGCTATTTTTTTGAAATTGATTTCTTTAAGTAATTCTTAAATTTTAGGTTTTAAATAGAGAAAATTTTCTGATAAATTTTCAGATGCATATTCTTCTTAATCTCTCCATAATCTATTATTCAATCTTAAAGGTCTGAGATTTTTATCAACAGGTTCCAAAGATAGTAAATCTGAGAATTACATATATAATTATTTAGTAATTGAATGTGTTTAAGCAACTATACCTAAGTTCTAATCACATTAATATAGAACAACAAATATGATTGAACCATCTTTAGATAAAAATTATCTAGAATTAAAACCAGTTTTAGATAATTGAATCATTACAATATGTCTAATAAGTGTAGTAAAATCTTCTGTATCATTTTTAGTACGATTCCATTCTTTTTTAACACTATCATATTGAAAATAATTTCCCTTAGCCATTTTATATTTAATTTTGCTTTTATTTAATTTATCATAATCTAGATTGAAGATTTCTTTTATTGCTTATAATTTATTTCCCTTAACAGATTATTTAATAGCTCTTAATTTATTATCAATTTTCATAGCAGCCATAGAAATTTTATCATTTTCACCTCCTGCACGCATTAAATTATTGGTCCTCTTTTTCTTTTTACTTTTCTATTTCTCCTCATCATCATCACTATCTTAAACAACTTCTTCTATTGGAGCTTCATCATCATCAAAGACTTAGCTCAACATAAATATACTGGCCTCAATAGCTTTAAGAAAGACTAAGTTATCAATGACTTCAAAGTCTGTTCCACTATTTTTGAGATTGAAACTATTCATACATAAAGTAATAGCTTCCATTGGTGACATTTAAGACACATATTCTACTTCAGGTGAATCTGGATTAGGAAAACTAAATTTAAATATATAAATAACCTTAATACAACATCACCCATATGATAATCAAATTCATCTACATATTCAAAACTATTTTTCATTTTAAGTATTCTTCCTTTTTCAGTTGATCTATGATCTAAATATTCTAAAAATTCTTCATCCTCTTCATCATTTAATTATCGACCCATAATCAATTTCAAATACAAATAATAAATCTTTGATAACTTTTCTGTATATCTGACTCGTTACTTTAATTCCCTTTTTGGTTCTTAGTCCACACTCTATCTTTGTATATTGAAAATAGTATCAATGAATTGATCATTAATCTAACCAGAAATTTGTTTTATTCCCTATTAGTCCAAATCATTGCTCTTATTTAATGGTAATGGGCTACTCATCTTATAATTTATTAATTAAAATTATATATAATTTAAATTACATCTCTCAAAATTTTTGACAAAAAAATTAATAAACTATATTAAAACAACATTCTCTTCTAAATACCTATATTAATTCAATAATTTAATAACAGTTATTAGGAAATAGAAGAAATTAAATATAATAAAAATATCAAATAATTAGTAATTTATAGAACAATTTATTAATAATATTACAATTCATTTTCGAAATATTTGTTATAATCTATTGTATTATATTAAATGAATTAAATTATTTCAAATATTTTTTAATGAAAAGTTGCTAGAATTAAATCAGCTAAACATCTCAAATATTCAATAATTAAAAAATACTTATATTCTCATTCTTGTTATATCCATATATAGAAGTTTTCTAACTTTTTAGGAATTGTATTGATCAAAATATTCATATGCTAATTGATTATTAATATAAATAATACGGAATGAATAATATATAATGACAACTTCTGTTTATTGTAATATTTAAATAATAAAGATATCAAAATGATCAAGGAATATGATTATTTATTTAAGTTAGTGATTGTTGGCAATTCAGGAGTTGGCAAATCTTCTCTACTTTTAAGATTTTCAGATGACACATTTAGTGATTCCTATTTAACTACAATCGGTGTAGATTTTAGATTTAAAACTCTCGAAATTGATGGTAAAAAAGTTAAATTACAAATCTGGGATACTGCTGGATAAGAGAGATTTAGAACTATTACAAGTGCATATTATAAAGTATTCAATTATATATACATTAAGGGAGCTGATGGAATTGTTTTAGTTTATGATGTGTCTTCCCTTTCTACATTTGAAGATATTGACAAATTTTGGATTAATGAAGTGGATTCATATGCTGAAAAAAATGTTGAATTATTATTGTTGGGAAATAAAAGTGACATTGAGGAAAAAGTGTAATTGCCCATCTCCTCTATATTAGAGTAACTACACAAAAGGCCTTAGACTATGCTGCTATAAGGAAAATGGCACATATGGAAGTAAGTGCCAAGACTGCTGATTAAGTGTCTAAAGCTTTCCTTTCTTTAGCTAGAAAATTGATTGTCAAAAAGGATTCTTAAGGATAAAAAGGAACAGGGTAATTAATTATTTCAATATTCTAAGACCTCAAAAGACTCAACAAACACCTGGATAGAAAATAGGATAGCAAAGTGAAGAAAATAAAAAAGAAAAAGATGGATGCTGTTGAATGTATGAATATGTTTGAAGTATTTACTTATTTTAATAATGTTTATCAATATATTAATCATAATATTCTTAGATAACTAATCTAACTAATAAAATCTTAAGAAAAACTCTAGCAAGAATCTATTAATTATTTAATTTCTATTATAAAATAATAAATACTAAAGTAAGATTATTAAGTTTCCAAACATTCTATTTGATTTTAAAAATTTATAGTAATAAATATATTTCAATTATTAATGATAATGAGTATTCATATAAGTATATTATAATATGACTTATAGATCAATTTTATATGTATATTCTTATTTTAAGTATTGATGAAACTTATATTTATTTATATATTTGATTCCATCTTAATTTAAACAAATTTCAATGAAAATTGATCCATATAATAATTTTAACTTTAATTAGAAGATTGAATTGGTAAGGTTTCTCAATTAATATGACTTGGATAGATGATTAATGTATTTCTGATTTGATTATTTTTTTAGATAATAAACTCTTATGTTCAGGTTTATTATTGAACTTAAGGAGATTGTAAACTCATTGTTATCACTGTTGTTTTGATTGAGATATATGACTATACATTCCTAGGATTAATATTAAAAATTATATAACTGATCATCATATTGCGTTTGAAAAAATAATGGTTCGTATTAATATGGGTTTGATAAGTGATTCTTAGTTTGAAGCAATTGTAATAATAAAAATATCTCAGCAACTTCAACATGTATAGATACATCTCAGAACTTGGATTCAGAACACCAGCCATCATTAATTCTCTTAAAATATTCATTAGAGATTTCAAAGATGTACCATCTGTTTCAGTAACTAAATTAAATTCAGAACAAATCTATTCTGCTCTTGAGATCCATTCTCTACCTTGGCAAACATCTAGTGACTCATCAAAGCTCACTAAAGAATTCAAATTCAATTCATTCAAAGAAACTTTTGCATTCATGGGATCAATTTCTATCATTGCAGATGAAATGCATCGTATTTTATTAGAATCTATAATTATTAGATTATCCAAAATGGACATAAAAAGAAAATGTAGTTACTGTAGAGATAACAACACCAGAATGTTCAGGTGTTTCTGTAAAAGACATTCTTTTAGCATACACAATGGAAACATTGGCAAATGAAGTCTCATCTACTTAAATTACAACTGTTTGTGATGGGCCAAAGGTCATTGATACACAAATACTACAAAATTGGAATTCAAATTTCTCAAAAACTGAGGAAATGCTCCAAAGTTTTTAGAAGACTACAGCTTAACTTTGATTTTATATCAATATATTATAATTTCTTAATATTATTTACATTATTTAATAGAAGATACAATAGAAATTATTATAAAATTATATAATCAGAAATTATATGTTTTATCAATTTTTTTTATAACATTTTTTCAATAACATAATAAAACGCAAAATATATATAAACAAGATATGTAGATTTATGACAATATAAAACTAAAAGTTTATTTTTTCTCTTAAAATATCATAAATGAGAAACAAGAATAATATTGTTCATTTTATTATAAATTGAAATTAAGAGATATTAAGATGACAAATTATTAATTTAATTACATACTTAAAATTGATTCAAATACATTAAAAAAATCGTTTTAGTATTATTATTAAAATCTATGTACAGAAAGTTGGCCTCTAATAATAATTAAGCTATTGCTAATTTATTAGAATTGAAGTTTTTGTTAAGAGACTTTTCTGAGATTTCTTAAAAACAATTCACAAAATTAAATCAAGATGAGGTCAATTAACTTTTGATTATCTAATAGCTAAATTAGAATTGGAATCAGGTATATCATTTAAATTGATGATAGAATGTAAATAGCTTGAGTAGAAAGTACTAGTTCTTGAGATTTCAAGATTCATTTAGTTTTATGAGCCAAGTATCATAGATAGCTGATTAGATGAAACGTATTAATTTTTAAATTATTTAGATTATCCGAAATGGTTCAATAAAAATGGACTTGTATAAATGGATTTAATGAGTCCTGAGGTACAAGGTGTAACATTTAAGGATGTTATTCTTGCTCATTCAGCAGAACAAATTTCATAAGTGATTGTAAGTTAACCTAAGACTTCAATATTCGACAATTGTGATATTCATATAGAGAATCTTATCTCTTCTTGGAATAACAATTACTAGAAATTTCAAGGATTAAACCAAGTCTTTGAAAGATCTGTGAATTTCATTTGATTAAATATTATGATAATTTCTTAAAAAATAAAGTTATAATTATCAATCACATTTTTGTTATGAAGATAATATGATAAATAAAGAGATCATAGATTTATAGATTGAATAGAAATATAATATAGGATGGGATATTTTATAATAGGATGATTAAATATTTGATAATGTTTATTGGAATATAAACATAACATTAAGTTAAATATGTTATTGATTTTAATATTATAATGAAATGAATCTGAGTAAGAATAATATATGTGAAATTTATATTTGATATTATATTGGTATAAATAGATAAGTTATATTATGGATGGAATCTCTTATTATATAATATGCTAATTGAATAATAAGAATTATACGAAAATTAAAGGATAGTTTGTTGGATATAATAGTAGATAGCAACTATTGATTATTATTAGATTTAATATTTAATGAAATAAGCTACGATTTTCTTGTCTGCTGCTTGTCCTTCAACAGATGTGCACTTGGCACGTGTTATGTCAGCCATTAAGGTAGCCAAACCAGACACTGAATTCCGTTTTGTTGGTATTGGAGGTCCTTAAATGGGTCATGAAGGATTAGAAACAATTGGAGTAGATTATCATGAATTCCAATACAAACCATTCTTCCCATTCAGAAATTTCTATAGATTGGCGTACACTCTATTGCTAAGTTAGTACTGAGAATGCAATGCATCCAGTCCATATGTACAAGAGATGGATCAATAAAAAAGTTTTGAATAAACTTGATAAGTAATACTTCGAAATTGTTTAACATTATCAACCATCCGCATTCTTGAATTTCGAAAATGAATTCTTCATGATTCAATTCTATAAGAAATTAAGAGAGTCCTATCGACATTTTAATCGTATTTGTCCTCCTACATTCCAATATGGTTTAACACATAAAGATTAACCTCAATATGGTTAAAAGTATGTAGATCATTGGTTTACAAGAACCCCAATGAAACAAGTATAATATCATAATTATTTAATTAAAGAGTAATTGGGAGAAATTTACATTCCCTCATACATAAGTTGGACCAGATGGACTATATAGAGCATTTAGACATCTTTTATCCAATAGTCCATAATATAAAGATTTAGTCTAAAATGATACTATATATCTTCCAGGAGGTGAATTCTTTAGATTTGATGATTTCCTTGCTGATAGAGTCAATGAATAAAGAAAGAAATATAGATAATAATAAAATATTGGAGATTAGGAATTATTAATATTTGTTGCAGGTGGTAATACATCTAAAGAAATACCATTCTGTCTTAAAACTGTTGCTGAAGGTATTTCAAGATTCCTCAAACTTGATGAAATGAAGAATTATCCAACTGATTAAATTAAAATCATAGTATCAGTTCCTGAATTTGTTGAACACAAGGATAGAACAATCAAAGTTATCAATTCTATTAAATGGCCAGCTAAAGTCATTCAAGTCTAAACTGAATCTGAAAAATTCTCAGCTATTGCTGCTTCAGATATAGGTTTAGCTTGTAATGGATAAATAGTTGCTGAATGTGCAGCCTTCTAATTACCAACTGTAAATAATTCTTTATCTATATATTTTAGATTATACTTGATCCTAAACCTACTATTTAAATGTATTACACTTCCCTCTATAATGGAATCGATAATGACTTAAATATAGCATATAATGGAATTGTATATCCGTAATTATCATCTTTTATTTCAAAATAGAGAATTAGTCATGTCCACAATACCAAATAAAATTGCATACTCCTTATTAGAACATTATTAAGATCCAAAACTCAGATACTTTTATGCAAAATAATATGCTCCAATCTTATAAAAAACCTTAGCCAAAAGTGAATCCTAAGTACCTTTAGAATTAGTATTTCATTTTATTTAATTATCATAGGTAAATAGATTCAATAGTGTCTAATTAACTGGTTATAATTCTGCATATGAAGTAATTGCCAATACAGTTTTGAAAGCAGCTTAAGTTTATGATCACATCCACTCCTAAAGTAATTTTACAACTTAGTAAAATGAAAACTTAAGAATTGAAGCTATGTAAAGTTTAGGATGGGCTAAAGGATTATGAAAAAATAATCACATTTATAAATCAAAACAATACAATATATATATTATATTTCACATAATATTACTGAATGTCATTAATTAATCATTTTTTGGACTCGATTCTGATTGATTTACTAAAGTCAAATAACAAAAATTAATTTAATAATTACAATTATTCTATCCTATCTAATAAAGTAAATTACTCACTATCCTCTCACATATTATTAATCTATGTTTAGGAATATTCATATTAATTCCAGATATTATTAATTAAATATCATTTTAATTCTATTATTTTAAGATTATCTCATTTGCATTATAAATTTTTATTAAACACGAAATTAATGTAAAAAATAATGGAATTACTGTGAAAAATTGATTTATTTCAAAATTTATGCGAATGTACTCTTTTTTTATAATTTAATCCACGTATAATCTCAATTTATAATATTTCAACTCCTCTACTTATTCAACAATTCTTTCTTTAATATAATATGAAGTGTAAAGCAAATTTCTAAGAGTCTCCTTGTAATATAAGACTTGATTGGTCCTCTTAATCCTTTTTAATACTCTAAGATATGAATTATTATTCCATGATTGATTTAAGAAAGTTTAAGACTCAGAAAATTTAATTGTAATTCTTATATCTACTAATTTTGTTATTAGACAGTTAATCATAAATCTCTCTCTCTGTTATGTATGTATAACTTGTATCTGGAAATCATTTGAGTTATCTCTAATTCGCTCCAACAAGTATTAATTGAGACTTATTTTTGTATTGATGACCTTAAATTCTTTAAGAAATTCTTTATTTTCTACATAGATATATTTATTCATTGATTTGTTTACATGTAACAATTCAATTCTCTCCCATAATTCATTATATGTTAATAAAACTATTTTGTCATCTACTAAATCATCCCAAATAGAAAATGAGGATTTTTACTGCTCATTTAACAAAAACAATGATCTGTTGTGTTTTTATCTAAAATATTCCTTTTACCAAAAAAGTATTAAATAGAGGGGAAAGATAAATGTGTAAGGATGTAAATTATTATGATTACGCATGAGTAATCTTAAAACTACATAAGTCAGCTATAATAGTTAATTTAAAATAAAATTTGGGGTTAGAGCAAAATTCAAACCCAGAAACTAGGAAATATCGAAAATCCATTCAAACTAATCACTTTTTAAATCTGGGTCATATATAGGAATCAAATGATAGAAAGAGGCCAATAAGCTAAAAGTTGATATCAAATACCCAACCACGAAAATATATTATTATTTCATCTTTATGTAGTAAAAAGTTATTGTCCACGAACAGCTTATTCCAACTAGCATTATGCCTATAAATATTTAATTTCTTTTTATCCAAAAAATACTCAATATAATATTTGATATTGACATCAATGCAATCGTATATTTGAATGCATTGAATAATTCTAATGAATAACTCTCTTGATATTTCTTCTCTAAGTTTTTGTCCACAAAAGTTAATGTAAAAGGATTCATTTTATTTATTATAATAAGATAATAATCAAAAATATTTGAAATAATTAATTGGTTACTATTTAAAGAATTATTATAATAATAAATATTATAATAATAAATATTATAATAATTACTAATAGATGATACTCTTAAAATAAATATATTATTTAATTCTTAAGATAATTTGATGATAAAATTTTTAATCTTAAAGAATTAAAATTGAGTAATTAAGATATATATTTCATTTTATGGAAAAATTAAAACATTCAATTAAAATTCAATTGTTTTAATGAATTTTCCAAATAGACTTAAAATAATTTTGGCAAGATCAATAACTTAATTATTTATACTAAATTAATTCATAACTAAAAATTCAAATCTATCTAATTCATCTTAACAAATCCATATAATAATAAGAAAGATTAATAACTATTTTATAAAATAACATTAAAATATAAATTTCATTTAGTCTTAATAAATAGAAATTACATAATATCATAATATTAATAAAAAAATCTTGAATTTTTTTGAATATCTTTCTTTCTTTAGAAAATGTTTCAAGATATCTTTTTAGTCCATTTACTCATCCAATCATTAAGAAATAATATCAAAATTCAGAAATTACTTAACTTTTTTCCTTTTGATAAAATTTATATATGACAATTTAAATAAAATAGTAAATTTCAGCATCTAATCTTTTCTAAAAATGACTTAATCTTGCGCTCACTATAACCCTTCATTAAATCTGTTTAAGTTCCCATGTTAAATAAACAAACTGAAGGAACTTATGCCATCTAATAATAATCACATATAACTTGTACCGCAAATTATTAAACAACATCATAAAGTTCCTCATTGTTCACATTAACCAAAGCAAGTTACCATTTTTCAGGATTCTTTTCTACCTCTTATTTTAACTAAGGATTAAGCTTATGGCATGGGGCACACCTAAATTTTATTTGATATACAATTATACCATTCAGCAAAAAAACTAACAATCACAGGTCTTTGATTATTAACAACGTGTTCAATCCAATCTTTTAAAGTGTTTATCTCTATGCAAATCATAAATATATAAAATAATACTTTGTCTTCAAAAAAATTAAAGCCAGTTTATAGGATTTGATAATATGTAATAATAAAGATTTAATTGACGAAATACTATCTATTTAATAAATGTATGACAAGAAAAATTAGATTCTAAATTTAAATAAATCAACCAACTTCTCTTTTTATTTATTTGATAATTTAATAAAACTCTGAATTAGGACTAATATTAATATAATTCATCCATTTTTATGCATTTCATCTTCAAGATAAAAATATAACTAATTTTTAAGTCTAATTTCAATTTAATATCTATTTTCTAGTTAAATGAAGCCTTTTGTATTAATATATATTGAAATTTTACATTTCTTATAATTATTTATTTAATATAATATTAAATACATATATAAAAATGAGAATAGATACTTTCTATCATATTTAACTACATTAATAGTTGGTATATACAACTTTGGGTACAGTAATGACAGTTGCAAATACTATCTTTTTTCATTTAAATATTATTTATATATTATATTGTAATCTATTTTATTTAATATAAATTTTTGATTGTTTCAAACATATTTCAACAGTTCTGGATTGGATGCATCTATATCTAAATAATTTCTTTCATATAAATTTTTAATTATTGTTGATATCTGATCAACTTAGATATCTTCATTAAATGTGTTTTTTGTATATTACTTTACATTCTCAACTAAATCTTAAAATAAAATAGTTTTTTTAATCTTTAATGTTTTTAAAATAAAAGCTTCCATAGGTAAATTTAGATTCCGCTTTGATTTTGCTAGAATTTTCATAAAAATAATACCTTTTTTTAAATATAAAATTGGGATCTAGGTATTTGTTATTATTATTTTATTTATTTTTGAATCTTCTAATTCTTCCCATTCTTCATTAAATCTATAAAGTTTCTCATTATCAATGACTACTTCTTCTAAAATATTTGAAGCTTTCATCTCTAAACAATTTTATATGATAAGATATTCTTATAACTTTGTAATTTATGATATCATCTTAGTACTTAAAAATTCATTTTTGTATTAATAAGCAAATAATATTATTGCTTAAGGGATATTAATACGTAATGTTATTTATTTCTTTGAATACTCAATATCAACATAAGATAATAAATCTAACCAATTGATTAATTTTTAATCTTATTAAGATTCAAATTTTTATTTTAATTTACCAATTATAAAAAACTCTTCATTTAATTCTATTTGTTAATATTAAAATTTAGGCCAATCTGACTATTTTAATAATAAAGGATGCTAAACAATCAATTATTTATTATTTTCTATTTTAAATTCAAATATGGTTTCTCTACTTTTTGAGAATTCCTCTATCATTAGTTCTAAAGGGTAGATACTCTAATTTCCCATAAGGCTAGACATTTTCTAAATTATTATTGATTCAGTCTTTAAGTAAACTTAATAAAATTCTGTACTAGATAATATTCGATAGTATTTTAATAATCTTTAAGCTAAACGATTTTGATAATACTAAAATCATTTATATAATTTACAACAGTAAAATCATTTTTTTCAGATAAATATAACAATAATTAGACTGTATCTCCCAAATATTAATTATCATTTTAATTATTTATAACATTTTCTATTTCTTGTTCAATGAATAAAACAAAATATTCTTGAAAATCTAATTTCTAAGAAACTATAAAACATTATAGATGATACCTAATCAGAAAAATTAAGTAATTCTTCAAATGCATTTGTTAATAAAGATTAAATATAAGTATTTTGATTCAAACAGATTTAAATGATTTTATGATATTTCTGATGTAATTAAAACAAGGAAATGACAAATCTATGAGATAATTATTTATTAACTTCTTAATTATTTATTATTTAGAAAATGAGATTCCCTTCTTATAAGATTTTTTATTTGATTTTCATTTTGATATCTTAATCATTTGGATCTAAAGTTAAATATAATTCATTTAATAATCCTAAATCATCTTAAATTTCTAAATTCTCAGAATTAAAATTTTCAAGAAGAGATTCTAAATTAAAAGGTATATTATCAGATAAAATAAAATCTTTAAAATTTTGAAGTAGTTATTCCTCTAATTAAGAATTAATCTATAATCTTATTGAATTATCATCAAAATTTAGTATTTAATTATTATATTCTTTTTACATTTTAACTTTTCTCAAATAAAATGGAATTTTATATTCTTATGCCCATTTATTATAAAATTCTTAATATTTATTTTTGAAATGAGTTAAAACTACATTTGTAAACTGTAAATCAATATTATTATTTGCTTATTCCTTCTGTAAATTAATAAAAATATCTCCAAATTGTTTTAATGTATTACCAATTTACTTCCAAGATGAATCTTAATTTTTTTAGATTAAATAATAAGCAGCATCTATTTACTATAAGAAACACTCAAATAATTATTTTAGAATATTAGTTGAACATAGTTTTTGTAACAATAAATAGTCTAAATAATCTTTTAAAGCTTCCTATGGATTTTTAGGATAAATTAGATTTATCTTAATATTTTTATTAAATATACAGCAAAATACAATGAAGTAAGGAGATATTTAGATTTTTTTATATATTTCTAATACATTTCAATAAAACATTCAAGTTTTGAACATCCATTTGTTTAATCATAAAAATTCAGATTATTGAAAAGAGGAATAATCTATTAAATTATAAAATCTACTTAATCTTCTATATGAATTTGAACTAGCTTTTTTAAAATTCTAATAAAATTTATAGCCATCTCTATTTATAAGTCATTGCTGAATCTCAATATAAAATTCATTATTTCACTATTCAACTAGCTTTAAAATTTTGGAATTTCTTTAATTGGATAAGAAGTAGTATTAAAAATATCATCAAAAGAGTTTTCAATTTTTTATTCAAGTTCTTAAAATTATGCTTTTGTTTAATTTTATGATTATATCATTGATTATATTTTAATTATTCATATTCTCGTTAAAAGGGTTTCAAGAACAGTAAACACTAAGATAGGGTTAAAATGTTTTGGAATATGATCTTTTTTCAATTAATTAGACATTAAGATTTTACAATAATGATATAAAATATTATTAAAATTTTACTCTTAATTTAAAAATGCATTTGAATATAGAGGAGGAAATAGAAATATTTGATAGAAGTTGTATAATAATAAAAAAAGATATAGAATTGAGAAAAGGTTAATGTTAAAATAGATAATATCTATTAAAATAATATTAATTATTATTATACAATTTAACAAAATATATTTTCAAAGTAATATTACTTATTGACTTAATAACAAATAAAGTTTATGATTATCATAAATAAGATTATAGATTTACACATAGCCTTATTTAATAATGAAATTCTATCCTATTTATATACAATTGTATTAGAGTATACAAAGAGATGTTGATTTTTAAAGTCATATAAATAAACATAGCTAATTAAGATTTAATTTAATATAATATAATATAATATAATGACTTTATAATAAATAAATAATTTAATCTGCATTTTTATTTATAAATATGAGTCAATAAGATGAAGGAGAAGAGAAATAGGATGTTGAATAAGTAGAACCAGTTGAACCTGATGAGCCAGATGTACCTTAAGAAGAGTATTATGCTCCAGAATCATTATAAATTTAAAAGTTACATAATGATATCAAAGAGGGACTTAAGAGAATTGGTAAAACTGCCAATTTAAGTGGATATACATTTGTGGAATTAATATGTGAAAATAAGGTAGAAATTAATATAAAGCATCTTAGAAAATAGATAAGTTGTTTAATATAATGTAGAATTATGTTAATTTGAGAAAAATTAGTTTTGCAAATAATCAATTAAATGATGTGAATAGCTTATAAAGTATTAAATATTTAACAAATTTGAATTTATCATTCAATCAAATAACTAATTTGGATAGTTTTAATGTTCCAAATACATTTCAATTCTTGGATGAATTAAATTTGGACAATAATAAAATTACAAACTTTGCATAAATCAATTTACCTAGATTAAAGAAGTTATCATTGAAAAATAATTTAATTAAAAGTGCATAAGGTTTTAATGGGCATAATACATTAGAAATTCTTGAATTAAGAAACAATAAATTAGAGTCATTTGAAGGGTAATTATAAATATATATGAATGTATTATAGATTTTAGAATTTATTGAAACTAAAATAAATTTGGGCTGCATAAAATTCCATCATTTCAATTGGACATTTGAATCAATTACCTGAATTACATACTTTACATCTAAGAGCAAACAAAATTATTGTTTTAACAGATATTCCAAATTTACCAAAATTACATCATCTTAATCTTAGAGCAAATTTAATTGAAAAATTGGATGAATTTAATAATCTTAAATCATTAGAGAGTCTTAAATCAATTACTATGCATGAAAATCCAATTGCAACTGAAATGGGGGATGGAATAAGAAAAGAAATCATTATGATATTACAATAAATTGAAAGAGTAAATAAAGAACCAGTTCCTCCAGAAGAAAAAGCAGATGCTTTGGCAGAATTAAAAGAGAGGATTGCTGCTGCCATTTAAAAGAAGAAAGAGGAGGAAGAAGAAGCTGCTAGATTAGCAGAAGAAGCAAGATTAGCTGAAGAAGCACGATTAGCAGAAGAAGCTGCCAAGGCTGCAGAATTAGCAGCTGAATAAGCTGCTGCTGAATAAGAAATAGCAGATAAAGCAGCTATTGAAGGAAAAGCAAATTAACCTAAAGTAGAGTAAGAAGAAGAAGAGGAAGCTTGATTATTAAAATTAACATAAATTTTCAATTAATGCATCAATAATAATAATAATAGGATGAATAGAAAAGATCTCTTGTTTAGGAGAAAATGTAGATGAAGTAATAAGGAATAGATAATGGGAATATGAGAAAAATAAATGACGAGGATATCTAGAAGATTTAGGCTTATGAATAGATGTAAATAGAAAATGCAATGAAAAATTCAACATGGAGCACTTTAATGTTATTAAAAAGTAAAGAGATTGTAAAATCAAGGTAAAAATAAGATATTTATATTTTAAGATGGAGACCAAAAAAGAAATAAAGATTGTGGGATTAATATAAAATTGATAAAATTTTGAAGAAATATTCCATCATGATAGAAGGTAATGATCCTCCACCTCCAATTAAATCATTTTAAGATTTAAGAGTTGATGACAGAATTTTAAAAATTTTAAGCAAAATGAAAATTAAAAAGCCTACTCCTATTCAAATGTAAGGATTGCCTGCAGTGTAAATATATATAATAATAATTAAGTTTAATGGGAAGAGACATTATAGGAGTAGCACCAAGTGGTTAAGGAAAGACTTTAGTATTTTTATTACCTGCATTACTATAATGTGTAGATGAGTAAATGAAAATGCCAATAATTAGAGGTGAAGGACCTTTTGCTTTAATATTACTTCCATCACATGAATTGGCAATCTTAACATATGAATTAGCTAAACAATATTGCCACAAATTTTAAAAGAAAGTAAATGATTTGTTAATATTAATTTTTAGGGATTTCCAGAAATACATTGTTTATTAGGAATAGGAGGTATGGATATGTCATCATAATTGTAATCAATAAAAAATGGAGTTCATATTGTTATTGGAACTCCTGGTAGAATTAGTGACATGGTTAATAAAAAGAAAATAAATATGGATTTGTGTAGATTTATAGTTCTTGATGAAGCTGATAGAATGTTAGATTAAGTATTTGAATTGGAAATCAGAAATATATTAGAACATTTCACAGTATTATTAATTAATTGATACCTAAGTTTAGGGTCCTAGATAAACTATGTTATTCAGTGCTACACTTCCAAAGAAAATATAAGAATTTACAAAATAAACATTAGTAGATCCATTAGTGATAAATGTAGGTAGAAGTGGTTAAATTAATTTGAATGTGATATAGGAAATATTATATGTTAAACAAGAAGAAAAATTACATTATTTATTAGATAGTCTCAAAAAAACAACACCTCCTGTTGTCATTTTTAGTGAACATTAAAATGATGTTGATGATATTAATGAATATCTTTTAATTAAAGGAGTTGAAGTAGTTGGATTACATGGAGGAAAATAATAGGAAGATAGAACTAAAGCATTAAAACAATTTTTAAATGGCTAGAAAGATGTCTTAGTGGCAACTGATGTAGCAGCTAAAGGTTTAGATTTTCCAGATATTAAACATGTTATTAATTATGATATGCCAAAAGATGTATAAGATTATATTAATTTAGATTGAATCTTATATACATAGAATTGGAAGAACTGGAAGATAAGGTAAAACTGGAAGAGCAACAACTTTTGTTAATAGATAATAAGAAGAATCTATTTTATTAGATTTAAAGTATTTACTTGTAGAATCAAAATAAAGTATATTAATTTATTTAAATAATAGAAATCCCTTAATTCTTAGAGAAATTGAAATCAGATGAGGATTTAAATGGTTCATGTGGTTATTGTGATGGTATGGGTCATAGAATGGCTAATTGTCCTAAACTAGAAAAGTAGAAGATGAGAGTATACATTTGTATAAAACTTTATTTTAGATTTTAACTAATCCTAACAAAGAAAGTTGTCCAGATTTTCTAAAAGGTTAAAATTATAGAGAAAGTTAAAGTGCAGAAAGAGAAAATTAAATGGGATGATTTGAATTAAAATTTTAATTTCATTTTTATATTACCTGGTTTATTAATATTATAATAGTTTAATTTCTCATTATTAAAACTTTTAACAATTTTATATAACTATTATTCATAATTATTTAAAATTTAATACTGAAATATAAATATAGCAAACATACTTATCTATACATACACAAAAATATTAATAAATCAACTGGATCGACTGATTATATCTTCAGGTTTTGGTTCTTCATCGTTTGATTCTTCTTCTGATGCTTAAGCTAATTCTTTTTCTAATAAATGAGGTAATTTTTATCCCAAAAGTGATATTAATCTCTAATTAAATCTAATCTATTCTTCAGACATAACTTAATCATCTAATCCTATTAATTTTTAATAAGAATTAACAAGATCAGTAAATAATTGGGATAAAACTATTTCATGAGTTGGATTATCTAAAATTTATTTTAATCTAAAAATAATAATAATAATAATTACACTGTTGATTTCCTATTTCTTTTATCTCTTATCAAACTTATTGTTGGTCTATGACTAAAATTAAATAATGTAATTTATTCAGGATTGAAAAGTACTCTCTTTAATTTTATCATCTCATGTAATTACTTAATAATATATTATATATCTAATTCTTTATTCACTTATGCTCTATTAATAAATAAATAATAATTACATAGCCTTCTATAATACTATACACTCATCTGTTTAAATACATTAAAAGGGTATAATTTAACTCAATATCAATTTCAAACTTATTCCAATATGTTAACTAGTAATCATTAATTATTTGAATTATTCAAAAATAGCAGAACATTGAACCTTTAATTAACTAACTCTCTTTAATTTACTTGATCGATGAGAATTTATGCCATCTTTCAATTTGATGCTTTCCTGTCTGTCAATATTTTAAGGAGATAAAAACTATCCCATAATAGGTTTCTAATGAAATGTTGACATACTCTTTATTTATATAGCAGAATCCCCTTTTATTTTATGCATTGATCTTTTTAAAGCTTCTCTTCCTCTTTAAGTAGATGCTAATAAAGCATTATGTGCCTCTATTGTGTTATTTCTTTTTTTATTAAGATCAAATTCATATAAATCATTTGCCATTTCTATAACCATATGTTCACGATTGTAAAATTTAATCAAAACACCAATTACTGCTATCATAAATTATGAAAATCCCCCTAAATTACTTAATAATTCATCTAGTCTCATAAAATTTCTTTTAATATCATAAGAGTAAGGACTTCTTACAAAATAGAAAGCACCATAATATCCAGGTGTTAAACCTGAAATTGCTGATTACTCTCTATTATCCATATAATCTCTTGTTATATATGTTTAAGTAGTTTATTGGGGATACATTAGTATTCCATCATCCGTTGTGACCTTCCTAGGTCTAAGGAAAATATCTGATTGAACAAACATAGCATTTGGAACAAAAGAATAAAATTATTCTATGGATATGTAAGGTTGAATAAAATGCTTTGGGGATTCAGGGTTAATTAACTATAAATATAAATATTGATTAATATACATAGTTAGTTGTATATACCTAAAATCTAAAGCTTCCATAAGATTTTAAGTATTTCTACATTTCCTCTTCAGTCTTGCATTGTGGTTTCCAAGAAAAATTATTCCCAGAATTACTTTTGCATGAGGAAACCACAAATTTTAAAAATGAAAATTCTCTACCTATTATTATATTATTATTGTCTTACTTGTCCATGCCCCTCCAACTGTCATATTTGATGTCAAAGGATGGTTTAGATTTGGACACAAGAAATTGTTTAAATTATATTGCTTAAACTAATCTTCAAAAGAGGTATTGTATTAATCAAATATGGGCTTGAAATGTTCAAGAGTACAAGGCACTAAATCTACATAAAGAGGAGGCAACTTAACCTAAGTACCATTTTCATCTCTGATATACCCTCTCTATTCCACTGTTATATTAAAATAAGGGTTAGTTGTAAAATTGACTTAATCAATCTGGACAGCAAACATAAAATTATTTGGTAAAAGTTAAATTGTGCTTGGATCTTCATTAAATTACTGTTCTGATTCAGATGATACTGTGTTTTTTTAAAAAAAGTCAATAATATTTGAGTAAAAAAAACTGATAATGGTGGCAATTATGCATAAAGAAAGCATCCCTCCTAAACTAGTTCTGTATTATTCTTCTTAACGAAAGCTGAGTGTTATTGATTATCCAAAAATATCTATCTTTCTTAGATTATCTTTAAATTTTGTAAACATTTTACTATTAATCAAATATTCGTTGTTGTAATATTTATATATGAAGTAAGATCAATTAAATGAACGCATCATTTAACTTTAGAGCAAACAATTAATTTTATTAATCTATAATTATGAAAAAGTGTTCAATACTCAATATTACTAAAAGTCTATAATTATTAATTTAATATTCAATATGTTGGAATAAATAATATATATTTTATATAGTGAATAAAAAAGTGATATTCAAAAATATGATATATCTAATAAAGATATTAATATGATTACAATTATTCTATTTTTCAATTTTGTAAATATCAAAACTTCAGTTTGCTGATTTCTTAATTATTAATTTATCCTTCAATAAAATTTATCCATCAATTCTCATATTTTAATATAATTTCTATTATATTTTACTAATTTTGGATTCTAACATTTTATAATTCTCATAAGATATGGAAATTATCCAAAATTTATCTTTTTTTGAATAAATATTATGAAATTTACTTAACATATCATTTATTATTTTACTATAAATGTATATATAAAACTTTGATACTCAATATATCTATATAGAAATCAATTTATGATATAATTTATGACTTTAAAATCTTTTTACAAAAATAATTAAATTTTCTACAAAGTATATAAATGAGAAATTGGAAATAATACCTATAGAATATTGTTTATAATTATAGAATGAAAATTTCTTTGTGTATATTTATATAATTGCTATGGGTATTGTTCAATTAGAATTTAGAGAATGTTTTTCTTAACTCAATCAAAAATTTTTGTAATTTACCTTATTAATAAAAATTATGAGATTATAAATTAATTATTATGTTTTAATTTTTGTAATTTTAATTTTAAATATATATCATATTTGGAGAAAATGCTTTAAGAATGAAGTATACTTTAAGAAATCATTTGATTTTATTAGATAGAAGATAAAAAGTGTTATATATTTAATAAAACAGCTAATTTGATAAATAAGATGAAAACTTATTTATGAAAATATTAAAAGATATATTTATTTTATTATGATTAATTCTATATTAATCATTGAATTCTCTTATTTGTTTCATTTGAATTTAGATCATCCTATTAATCTTAAAATTCATTTGAAGTTATTTTAATTTTGTATAACAGGGAGTCTGAACATAGATCATTTGACATCTATAAAGCAACTTCTTAATCATAAAGTTTTCCATTTACATCATCAACTTATAAAATATATCTTAAATCAACATTATAATATTTCAAAATAAACTCCTGATCTAAATAGTTTTAACTTAAACCAACCATAAGAACCTAAATTGTATATTTATTTAAAATACTTTGTTATATAGAGAAAAGGCTACTACTTTATTTGGATTAGTGAAATCATGGTATTAAGATACTCCACCTTAGGAATAGACTATCCTTTAATCACTTACAGAATTATTAGGTAGCTAATATATTGATATAACTATATTATTATTATATCTATATGGAATTCCTACTTAGAAGAGCTAACGATCAATAAATAATCCAGGCAAAACTTAAGCATGCAAATATCTACTTAAAGCATAATTATATGTAAATGATATAACATTTTGATTGTATGAATCGTAAACCAATTAAAACTTGTAATTCAAAGATTAAGAAGTAAACAATATATCAATAGTACCTGTATAACTTGAATAGGTTGGATTTGAAATGAAAGTAAAATCAGTGAATTATTGATAAGTTATTTCCCCTCCATTTTGAATTATTATATCAGATAAAACAAAAGTCTTAACTAAACCTAAACCTATATTAAAAATTCTAAACTTTCCTTCTTCAGTCAAAGTCAAAAAGTATGAATATGAACCATAACTATAAAGATTATGTACCATGACTTTAACAAAGTGTTCATTATATAATTAAACAGAACTTATTTATTTGCTTAATGTATAAGTTGCTACATAGGTTGTATTACTAAAAGATATTGTGTAGTAATTTAGTTAAGTATCATTACTTTTGACATTCATAGGAAAAGTATTAATAAAAGCTAGATTATAATCGTTTAAATGAAATTGTGGAATATAACTTATGTTTACTTGCAAGGGTGAAAATTTAATTTAATCTCCACATGTATAATTACTTGTACACTAAATAGTTGCTATTTAGTATTAATTATCAACCACACAAGTAACTAAAATATAAATCCAATTCATTTATATTCTTTAACAACGAGTGTTAGGATTTGTACTTATAATGATATTTTTAACAAATTAATTATCCTTATTATAAACTTTAATTGCTTAAATATCATTTATAGATAATAAAACTAATCTAATATCTGGATTTGTTTAGCCTTATAGTACAAATTAATCAACTACATTTAAATTTTCTCCTACTTCTTAGTCATATAATCTTAATGGTTATACTATATCAATATTTTTACCCTAACCACATTATTAACATTAAATTAAATAATCTACTATTGTTCCTGTCATATCTATATCAATTTCAGATTTTTTCCACTTTTCAATAAAAACATCTTAATTAGCATTCTAAAATTTAATTTAAGTTTTAGATTGATATAAAACAATGGCTTAACTTAATGTTATACTTGGATTATATTTTAGATTCCACATTGTTAAATTTAATCTGAATTTATTTACCCATTAATTTGTCTAATAAGTAGGTACAATCTAATATTAGGGAATCTTATCAATCCACCCCATATTATGATTTACTCCATCATTCTAATAAAAGATAAACTATTTAAATCCAGCAGCAGCTATTTAAGTATCAACAATAGAAAATGTCTATCTCTTTGGTGATAGTACTTTTACTAAAGAATCTCTTAAAGGCTATCTTGGTTTATAAACCAAAATAACTGATAAATCCTCATTGTCTGGATCACTTGCTGCTATGTATAAGAGTCCAGAATCTTGATTAGTTGCAATTGCCAAAGAAGTTTGAACTTTGTATCTATAAGTAGGAAGTTCTTTCATTTAAAAGACATTACAATAATTTGAAAAATCATATTCAATTATTTAAGTTTTTGTACTTGTATGAACTACTACAAAGAATGAATCCTTACTTATGGCTACATCCATAGTAGATTCTTTATAGGTTAATACCTTAATAATTGTTAGTTCTTTGTGATAATCTGCAATAATTATATTATCGTTATTAATAATGAATAATATGCTTGGATGATATCTAGAATTGCCTACAATTTTCTAAAGCTTCCAACTTCCATAAAATCCTAAAGCTCTTACTTTTGCTTCAGTTATAGTATATTATTATTTATTTAATAGATTCCAGATATCCAATTATTAATTACTAAGAACAACATATAATCTATTTGCAACAACATTAATAGATTTTATTTATATTTATGCAGTTGAATTATATACAAATTGTTATTAATATTAAATGTCTAATTATGAAACCGAATACATTACAACAGTATAATTATTTTCAACTATCAAAAAATATAAATTTTCTTCATCAAAATAACTTTAGAAAATCCTATTCTCCAAATTAATACTTATTGGAAATTTCATATAATTGATACATTATAAATTTACTTATCCATCATTATATTGATCTGTTGAACAAATGTAAGCTAATATATCTTTAGTAGATGACTCTTAAAAAATAATAGCTATTCTAGAGTCATCATCATCTAAACTAATCAATTTGATATATTATGAGGATTTAGCTGATGGAATTTTTGAATATATTGATTCTGCATTAATGATACCTCCTGACTTAATATTTAAATTTATTGTATTTATGCCTTCAACATCAGAAACGAATAGAGAGGAATGATTATATTAAATATTTGGTCCTGAAACTGGGATTTAAAATTCACTAATTAAAGGATAATCATGATATACATCAGGAAATTCTAAATCTGATAAAGGATATATTTTTGAATCTGATGAATTTTATATTCCATATACAATAGTAGCATAACATGAATCATTAAATTAATCCTTTGCTGTAATAGTTAATATTGCTTTAGATGCAGTTAATTCTCCAGATAAAAATTTTATTTTTCCACTTGATAATGTAAATCTTCTAGCATCAATTTATGTAACATAAATTAATTCCTAAAAGTATTAATTTATCAATAATCCTTAAATTCCTTCAAGTACTTCCTTATAAACTAAATCTTGAGTTTAGATATTGATTAAATATGTTTTACCCTTATTTTATATAATTAATAATTCTTATGATATCTTCAATAAAGTAGTATAAACTGGGGTAAAGTCTAAATCATATGAATATTTAAAAATTCTATTTTCATAAATTTCAGCCTTATTAGTAAACAAAACTCCAATTACTTCTTATATAGATCCATCAGAAGATATAAAATGACCTACATCAAATTCTCTTGCATCACTTAATAATTCTATCCTATCTATTAAAGTAAAACCAAGCCATTAATCCATTTATAATATTATAATGCCATCAAATGCAGTTAATATGTATAATCGACCATCTGCAAATAATTCAAAATCAATCAAATTAAATTCATAATCGAAAGGATCATCAATTTCTAATAATGTTCCTATAGTGAATGCAGTTAATGTATCAATTAACTATAATGAAGATGCATTATAAATCTCAATAATACAGTTCTTTTTTAAATCTGATCCAGTAGCATAAGCTGGAGTTGATCTAAATAGTAATTTTATTGAATTTTTCTTACTATCAGCAAAATTAATTATTTTTGTAATTCTTTTTGTGATCATATTTTAAACACCATAATTATTATTACTTACATTTCTTACAGCACCTGATTTGTCAACAATAAAGAAATAATTCTAAATTGGATTTGACATTCCATTATAGCAATCAGCTAAGAATGAAGTATCATTCAAATATTCTAAATTTAAACATTAAATATCTTAATTTAAGGAAAAAACGATCTTCTAATTAAAATAAGGTGGTCTAAAATCTCCTTATAATCTAATTAATAATCCGAAAAAAATACCCTTCAGAATAATATATTGATAATTAATTTAAATTTTTTTCTATAAAAGCAAAATGATTTAACCAAACATTTTAATTTTATTCTGTTCTTGCTTAAATAGCAATGATCTTTGATATCCCTTGATTAAATATTTAATATACCTTCAATTAATAATTTAGGTGCATATTCTTAATGTAAAGGTTTTTTTAAAGTAAAGTAGGATTACTTTGTTGATAAAGTGTAATTCAAGTACGATCCTGAAAAGAAGTCTTTTAAGTTCCATTCAAACGTTTCTTAAGTTGAAAATAGTGCTTTTACTTATTCCTGTTTGATAGAGCAATGTTCTAATGTAAAGCCCAAGTAGACGATGGGTAATAGAATCAGAATTATCATATTAATAGTAAAATAAAAAAAATCGGATTTTTGTATTTATTTATTATTGATGCGTCATAAAATTTATATGGAATTTCTATTATATTTTTCTTGGCAATTATTTTGTGTTTTGTAATATACATAAGCACAGATTACAATTGATTTATCTTGGATTCTAAAGGAGTAAATCAAAATTGAATATGATCTCTTTCATTATTATTTTGAAGAAATTCTATAAAAATAATTGTAATTAATAGAAAATTTTTTAAAAATAACAACACTTATATAAATTATTATGGTTAATAAAATGGTTATCATTTTATGTAAGAAGACAGAAATTATATCATTAAGGTTTAACTAATAAAATTTTTTAATCTATATAGATTTTTTAATAAATAAAGATCATTTTAAACTACTGTTAAATTACTCTAGATTGGAAGAAAATTTTGTTGTATTAATGCAGATTAGATTTATATAAATCTTTAGGCTTTTTAATAAAAATATGAAATTTGTAAAATATGGCACAGATTCATTTTTTATTTTCAATTCGAATAATTACTTAATTAGAACTTTTAATTTGAATAAATATTAACATTTTCTCATTTAAATAAATAAAACAAGAAACATATTTTAAATTTGAATAAAATATAATTAATATATTTGAAGATAGCTTTATATTTATGGATATGGTAGATCCATAATTAAAAAAAAATTTCCTTTAATTTTTAGAAGATTTATTTATCATTTTTGTAGTTTGTTTAATTAATAAAAAATTAGTCCTTATATAAATAATATTGATTAATTTACAAATTGTTTGAATAAATTAACAAATATTTATACAAAAAATTATATTTGATTCACTTTTTTTATAATTTGATTGAGAAATCTGAAAATTTAAAATTAAAATAGAATAGTTTATGAAATAATATTTTATTTATGGCTCTTAGAGAGTATATTTTATAAATATAAGTCAGTTTTAATACTAATCAAAGGAATTCTTTAGAAAAATCATTTAATAGAAGATTTAGAATGGAGATAATAATACATAGAAATTTGAACTAATGAAAATACTTATCTTTAAAATTTAACAATATTGATGATCAATCTCTATATATTCATAATAAATGAAAATTGTATAGAAATAAAATAATATAATATAATGCATAATATTTAAAACTGTCACTTTCCTTTTCTGCTTTATCTTTCAGCTCTTCTTTTTTTCCACAATTAGGCACCTAAAGGAGATGCTATTTCCTCTGGGATTTATGGATTTTATTCAATGAAATCTATAACCTTTTTTGCTTCTGCATGGTTAAATTAGTAATCTTGTTCTTACTAGCATTCATCAATAGTATCAGCTAGAAGTTTGTGAATAGATTACATTTCATATCAACATCTTTGGAGAGTAGTATGAGTTAATCCTATAATTTAGTCTCTGTTATTCTTTTTTGATTGTAATCATCAATAACATCAAATATATACTTATCATCTAAAATTACAAGCTAAATAATATAAATAGGTTCTACCTTTTTTAGTGCTCTTCTTTCAATATCATTAATTCTCTTATTTCTGGAGAGTGCACAAATCTCATAATAGAGTTGCGAAGTTGGGAGATGCAAATTTTACATTAAATTAATAATGTATGGTTGAATGGTTGAGTAGAATTTGTGTCAAATAAAGAATAGAATTCAGAAGTTAAATAGTATTATCAAAATCAGTACTTAATTACCTAATCTAAACTATGGCAGAAAAGGGGATCAAATATTAAATCCGTTTTTATTTTATAATTAAATAATTATGACGAACAAAGTTGCTGTCTTGTTGGTACTTGTAGGGCTTATAGGCTGTAATTATTGATTGTTATCTCTAGTTGCAAGTTCCTCTTTGATAAATGTGCAATCATTAGCTCAGATTGATGTAGAGTCTTTCGGATGTGACAAATCGAAGCTGTATGATGCTGAAGAAGGCCTCTAGAAACTCGGTGAGGCTCTTAATTTTGCTTAGACAGGAAAATTGGATCAAGATATTAAGGAATTGAGAGAATTGCAAATGTTAGCTAAGAAGGGAATGGAAGAACAAGTGCAGGTTTCATTTGTCTAAGTTCACAACCTTCAATACCTTTATATGTTGAAACATAAATTTGATTCCTTGGCACTGATTGAAATGCCTAACAAATTCGCTCGTCCTCACATTGATGGAATGAAATCATAAATTAACTTAGTTTTGGCAGCTACCGACACTTAAACCAGAAAAGCCTGTTGCGAAATGTTGTTCAAAATGATTGAAGTTTTACTTTTAGACCTTCTTGAATTAGAAGAAGAATGCTAAAAGCCTATCACTATCAACATTGAGGGAGAAATCAGAAAAATTTAAATTATTAGAGGATAATGTGATAGTACACCTACTCCAGAATAACCAGTGATTCCAGTTGATCCTAAACCAATCATACCTGATCCTAAAACTCCTATCGTAATTACACCTCTTCCTCCTAAACCTAAGGATCCAACTCCTAAGCCAAAGGATCCAACACCTAAACCAAAGGATCCAACTCCTAAACCTAAGGATCCAACTCCTAAACCTAAAGACCCAACACCTAAACCTAAAGACCCAACACCTAAACCACCTCCTAAGCCTAAAACTCCAAGTCCAACACCTTAAGTTGTTATTGATTGTGTCAAAGGTGCAAATGTTGTTGGTGACATGAGTGCAAGTTCAGATTAAGCTGTTGCTGATTCTGTAATTGAAGGTAAAGATCTTGCTGGAGCAACCGATTATGGTTATGGATTCTGGTTAAGATGGTTAAGTAGATATCCAGATGAATTGATTTCAGGAAGAACAAAAAATACATATTACTTTGTATCAAGATTAACTACTAATCAAAAATTCAATGATGCAGAGATGGGAGATAGAGTTCTTGCCATATGGCATTATGATACTGGTTATCATTTCACTGCATTAGATAAAGCATCTCGTAATCCCAATGTAAATCAAAATATACCAACTGGAGATATTGAAGGATTATGGAGTTATGTCTATTTTTCATATAGTGGAAGATTAAAGAAGGCTGTTGGTTTATTGAAATTCGGAGCTAGTGGAAAAGTATAATAGATAACATTAGATGTTACTCATGATATTCCAACATATTTGAGATTAGTAGTAGGAGGTAAATAGTTTAGTTATCCTGGATTCAATGGATAATTCACTAATCCAGTCTTCAAAATTGGTGAAGGAGCTTATGTTAATTCTGAATTAGAATTATTTGATTACAATCTTAAATGCAATCCTTATCCAAAATTAGATTGTACTGAAAGAGCCAAATAGACCCTCATTCACAAAGCAGTTAGATNTCACATTGATGGAATGAAATCATAAATTAACTTAGTTTTGGCAGCTACCGACACTTAAACCAGAAAAGCCTGTTGCGAAATGTTGTTCAAAATGATTGAAGTTTTACTTTTAGACCTTCTTGAATTAGAAGAAGAATGCTAAAAGCCTATCACTATCAACATTGAGGGAGAAATCAGAAAAATTTAAATTATTAGAGGATAATGTGATAGTACACCTACTCCAGAATAACCAGTGATTCCAGTTGATCCTAAACCAATCATACCTGATCCTAAAACTCCTATCGTAATTACACCTCTTCCTCCTAAACCTAAGGATCCAACTCCTAAGCCAAAGGATCCAACACCTAAACCAAAGGATCCAACTCCTAAACCTAAGGATCCAACTCCTAAACCTAAAGACCCAACACCTAAACCTAAAGACCCAACACCTAAACCACCTCCTAAGCCTAAAACTCCAAGTCCAACACCTTAAGTTGTTATTGATTGTGTCAAAGGTGCAAATGTTGTTGGTGACATGAGTGCAAGTTCAGATTAAGCTGTTGCTGATTCTGTAATTGAAGGTAAAGATCTTGCTGGAGCAACCGATTATGGTTATGGATTCTGGTTAAGATGGTTAAGTAGATATCCAGATGAATTGATTTCAGGAAGAACAAAAAATACATATTACTTTGTATCAAGATTAACTACTAATCAAAAATTCAATGATGCAGAGATGGGAGATAGAGTTCTTGCCATATGGCATTATGATACTGGTTATCATTTCACTGCATTAGATAAAGCATCTCGTAATCCCAATGTAAATCAAAATATACCAACTGGAGATATTGAAGGATTATGGAGTTATGTCTATTTTTCATATAGTGGAAGATTAAAGAAGGCTGTTGGTTTATTGAAATTCGGAGCTAGTGGAAAAGTATAATAGATAACATTAGATGTTACTCATGATATTCCAACATATTTGAGATTAGTAGTAGGAGGTAAATAGTTTAGTTATCCTGGATTCAATGGATAATTCACTAATCCAGTCTTCAAAATTGGTGAAGGAGCTTATGTTAATTCTGAATTAGAATTATTTGATTACAATCTTAAATGCAATCCTTATCCAAAATTAGATTGTACTGAAAGAGCCAAATAGACCCTCATTCACAAAGCAGTTAGATACAGTGTTTAGACTGCTAAAGTACAAACAGTAAAAACAAGTCTTGAAACACCATTCCCTGAAGAATATTCAGTTAGTGGTTGGTTCAAATGGAAATAATTAGAGAATTAAGAACCATGGCATTTAATGTTCAGAGTTTTTGCCACAAAAGAGAATAATAATGCAAAGAACTTAGGAGATAGAGATTTGGCAGCTTGGATTGGTACTGCAAATGATGGTATTGTTTTGTTGTCTACTTATTCATATAATAACTTATTTGGAGAAGGTAACCCAAATATTATGAATCAAATTCAACACAAGAATAGAATTTAAGAATGGACATTTGTGTACTTTGGATATTCATTCAAATAGAAGACTGCTCATTCTATAGTTCACTTTAAAGAAGCTAGAGAAGAGAGAACATTTGAGAATGTTAACCATTTCTTAGTTTAAAGATTCTCAATCAATTTGGCAAAAGATGATCATTATCCTTCTTGGAATGGTATAATAGGCAAATTTAGAATTGATTTATGTAATGGTGCTTATGATCCTAAATTCCCAAGAACTGCAACTCCAGTTCCAAGTCCATCACCATTAGGTCCAACTCCACCTCCTTCAAAGACTGTTGAACCACCCCCTAAAACTCCAACTATTTAACCACCTCCTAAACCACCTGTTAAACCACCTACACCAGATGTTGTAGTATCACCTCCCCCTCCTATCATAAAAACTCCAGAAGTTATGCAAAAATGTATTGAAGGTCAAGCTGCAATTGGAGATTCTTCTTCAGCACCAGATGTTAAACCAGTTGCTGATATTTAAGTTCCAGAGGAAGCATTGAAAGATGTCACAGAATATGGTTATGGATTTTGGAGTAGATGGTTAACTAGACATCCAGAATAATTATTTGGAGGAATGAGTGAACCATGGTATTTTGTTTCAAGATTAACATCAAATGATCCATATGATAATATTAGAATGGGAGATAGATTGTTAGCAATCTTTTTAAGTAAGGATGGATATACATTCATAACAAATGATAAAGGTACTTCTAATCCAAATCTTTATAAATAATAACCTTACAAAGACATTGAAGGTGTTTGGACATACATTCATTTCAGTTTCAGTCCATTGAAAAAGAAGGCTGTTGCTTTTGTTCATGCTGACAAATAAACATCAATAATTGAATTAGCAGGAATAACTCATGAGGCTCCAAAGAAATTAAGATTCATATTAGGAGGTAATGATCTCAAACTCTATCCTGGATTCAATGGTTAATTCACAAGACCAGTATTGAAGATAGGTCCAGGTTCATTTATTGGATCTCCTGAAGATGTTCAAAAATATGCCTTATCATGCAACCCATTACCTGAACCAGATTGCAAGAAAGGAAGAGGAGTAAGTAATTTGATTGAATCTACAAAATAATTCAACAAAGGAAGTGAAGTCACAATGTTTGTAGCTGATAATGAACGTCCATTCCCAGATAATTATGCTATTGGAGGTTGGTTCTTATGGACACCAACTGAATAAGAAGAATGGCATTTAACATTCAGAGTTACAATTAATGGATAAAAACATAATAAAAATGATTAATTATTGGGAGACAGAGATCTTACAACCTTTTTGGGTAAAACAGGAGGTTATCACTTTGCTACTTATACATACACTGACAATTTCGGTAAAGGAAATCCCAATAAGTACATTAATACTGAACATTAAAATAAACATACTGAATGGCATTACATTTATATGGCTTATTCAAGATAGTAAAAGAGAGTATTAACTATTCTCTTCACAAAAGGAGATAGATAAGTGAAATACATTGATGAAGTCAATCATTATCTTGCCCCATTGTACAAGATCTTCTTAGGAAAAGATTAATTCTATCCAGCTTATAGTGGTTATTTAGCTAATGTTCAATTCTTTGCTTGTGAAAATGCATATGATCCAGACTTCAAACCACCTGGAGAACCAGAAGTTCCTAAATAACCTGAAGTACCAATTAAACCCCCTGAGCCATAAAAAGAACCAACATGTTAGAAGGGTGACACTAATGTTGCTGATACTGCATTCGATTCATAAAAACCATTAATTGATCTTGTATTAGACAAACCAGAATAATTGTAAGATGTAAGAGAAT